GGCTGGACCGATTCTCATGAAATTTTGTGAGCGTATTGAGTAGTCTGAGAATCGGCCAACATTTATTTTTCATCCCCCTAAATGTTAGGGGTAGTCCACCCCTAATTTTTATTTTTTATTTTAAGGCTAAATAACGTGCCGGGACAGCTAGTATATTATATATTGGTCAAAGTCTGATTCCGTCATTGTTTTTTTTAATATACTTATTTTTTTAGTTTAGTCATAATTTTTTTTTATCAATAATGTATAGGTACACATTATTTCAAATTCAAATTCAAATTCAAAATATCTTTATTCATGTAGGTCTATTACAGACTCTTATGATATGTCAAATCTACCGTCAGTTCGGAATGATTTCGAGATGAGAAGAACTGACAAGAAACTCAGCTCGTATTTTTTTTTAATGTTGTAAAATATTTAACTTTGAATGTTATTACAACATAGTACATGTATGTATATTGCCCTCGGGGCTTCACCGAGCACTCAGGTAGATGACGTTATTCGTAAAAAACGAGTATGTTCGTTAAGTGTCTTACACCTATAATTTAATGGTAAGTAGTATTTAGGTCGAATGATTAGTTTTGTTTTCGACTAAGTCAAACAGGCCAAGCCATTATCTGCTCTTGTGTACTATCTACTCTTTAGTTATCTAACTTCATTGGACTCCCTAAAATCTCAATCGTCGAGCGCATCTATTAAAAAGAGCAACACACAAGTTTCTTGCTCATTCTTCTTGTGATGAATCTGCATTCCGAATGAGCGGTAGAATCAAAATATGACTATACAAAAGTGCTTGTAATGAGTTTATTTGAATAAAGATTATTTCTATTTCTATTTCTATTTCTATTTCAATGATTGCTGGCTCATCCGTCATACTCGTGAATGTGATGCTTGTAGGGACTGATCTGCTCTTATCACTACGACTGATTTAATTTTATTGTATTTATATATTTGAGCCTAAATAAATTAGGTCTGGTTGGTAGTTTGTATTCACACGTTTCGACTTGTAAAATGTGAACTAACAAGGATTGTTTAAAAGAGCAACACACAAGTTTCTTGGTTATTCTTCTTGTGATGAGACAGCTTTCCGAATAAGTGGTAGATTAAAAAAAATTGACTATTCGAAAGTGCTTAAATTAAGTTTATTTGACTAAATCATTTTCTATTCTAATCTATTCTTCTATGCTGTTTGCTCCATCATTTATTTATCTATCTAAAAATGCAAGCAATTACATGATTAATAAGTAGATATTTTTTTTTTTTATTTGAAAATTTAAGTGTAGTTTCCACTGAAACAGAAATAGAAATAATCTTTATACAAATAAACTCAATACAAGCACTTTCGAACACCTAGTCATATTTATTTATTCTACCACTCATTTGGTACGCAGATTCAAGATGAATGAGCAAAAAACTTATGTGTTGCTCTTTTGATTAGGTGTTTTTTTATTAAATAAATAATTACATATTAACATTTAAGAAGCATGGGATAATCAACATAGAAACCTCTACGCACATAAGTTCTTAGTGCAATCACATAATCTTTTTTTAATTTTAAATTTCTTCTACATTTTTTTTTAATATATACATACTGGGTTCTGTTATTTAGATAGCTATTTCAGGGCTAAACCTCTTAATCCATTTTTTCACATTTTTCCAATAGTATATTATGCGATAAGAAATCAAATGCACGCTCATATCAAAGATGTGTGTATAGTGTGTGCTTATATCAGTAAGTGGCACTTTCTTGTCAATGTAATTCATAAGTATTAAAGCCCCCTCAATTATTTCTTTCATAATATTCAGATATAGAAACTGTTCTCTACATTACGATTGTCATTTGTTTTTCTATTTTTCAATATTTTGTTACACCGCTAAATAGATCGACATTTTAATAGATATATATAATTACGATTTCATTTACAATTTGGTGTTTTATAATTATTTACAACGATTACATCCGTGCACCTCGTTGAGATTCACAGCAAGTGTGTGTGTGTGTGTGTTTATACGACATTTGAATCTTTTTTTCAGGCAGATTTATAACAGGCTCTGGTAGCTTGTTGTAAAACCTTACGCAATTGCCCCAAAATAAATTATTAACTTTAGTTAAACGGCATTTAGGTTACTATGTTAAACAATCTAAGATGACAGTCTCGTCTCCTGTGCTGCCTATCAGTCAACCTGTGTTATCAAATAGTAAAAAAGAACCAACTGTTTCCTGCGACTTCATTTGAGATAAAAGAATATAAGATATAAATTCTCTTTATACGATCATGCACGTCAATTCAACCGATTAATCCATACAATCAGACAGAGAGAGACACAGGCAGTTATAATGTTAGTCAGTATTAGTAAAAGCCGATTTTTATGTTATGAATACTTTTTTTATTTTAATTTTTTTATGAATACAAATGTTTTATTTATTTAACTTAAATGCACAAAAATAATGTGTACATATAGCAGACTTAACACCTTGCGGCGTTGCGGCGCAGAGAAAGGTTGTTGGCGGTACACTAATATAAATGAGACATGTAAATAAAAATAAGGCACAATATATATAAATTTCTATAAAAGTGATACTGGATACTCGACCTAGTTCAGATTCCAGACTCACACAAGGAACAACTTGAGAGTTTAAACATAAATGAATGTAGATTGTAATCTTCCTTGTGAGTTGTAAAATAAATATTATTTTTATATATTCACTAGCTACCCACCCCGGCTTGGCATGGATGTACATGTATTATACATTTAATTAAAGTTAGCCTTTTGTTAGCCTTTTGTCCCAGTATCCTTCTACCACATCCTGATACGATAACGGGTGATGATGCATTTTGCATTATGCATTTTAATTTTGTTATTGTATATTTTTCTTATTATTTAGATATCGGCTGCTATTGGTCGTAGCGTAATGTCATATAGCTTACTAGCTACTCGCCCGGGCTTCGCACGGGTGTACATGTATTAAATAAACCATCCTCTTGAATCACTCTATCTATTAAAAAAACCGCTTCAAAATCCGTTGCGTAGTTTTAAAGATTTAAGCATACATAGAGACGCGTAGACAGCGACTTTGTTTTATACTATGTAATGATACATATATAAACATACTGCATGTGAATAAATACTTTATGATCTCACAATCAAATTATAAGTACAACCTCAATTTTTATTGTATGGGAACAGAACCTGTGACCGTAAGAAGTAAGGTAGTGTCAAACCACTCAATCATCCAGATTCTCGATGGTTGTAATTGAGACTTAAATCACCCCAGTCATCAAATTGTAATTAGTTACTAGAGCAGACCGGTTTGTATCAATTCACGATAATATGAATTATAATCTCACGAGAATACATTTTGTTTATAGTTAAGTTACGTGTTACTGGGTTAAAAACATTACTTATCAAATACAAGATAATTATATTTTAAGTAGAATATAATAGTCATTAGTATATAATAGTTATTATCATTATTTAATACAATATAATAGTTATGGAATTGTATATATCTCGTATGGAATTCTAAGTGTAATTGTATGGAATTCTATAATCTTACCCACCCACCAAATTATATAAAAATAAATAAATATACCTATATATTCAAAATATAATCTATACATATAAATAAAATAGGGTCTGTCTTTTTGTAATATTGAAATAACCATTTTTTACTACATGCATATGAATAGAAATACGGTACATACACCAAAATATTTTTTTTAACAATTTTTGTCTGTCTGTCTGTTTGTTCCGGCTAAACTCTGAAATGGCTGAACCTATTTGGACGTAACTTTTTTGACAGGTAGCTGTTGTAATAAGGAGTAACTTAGGCTACTTTTGTTTTAGATTTCTTTTAATTTTAGAAAAATAAAGTTTAATTCTACGCGGATGAAGTCGCGGGAACAGTTAGTTTAAAATATAATAGAATATGTATATAGGTGTAACTTAGTTATTAAATCGCGGCTATTAAAAACAAATCTATCAATATACATATATATAAATATAATAAATTAAACAGAACAGAAGAGAAACGGATAAATATAAAAAAAAATACCAATGTACCTACCTACATAAAAACAATAACTATACTCTCAAAAGAATGGCTACAGTTTGTAATTATACATTTCCCGTCTATATTTTTTGTTGGCTAAGATGATAGTCTAATCACAATTTTTTATGACAAATAGCCAATGTTACCAGAGTTGGCAGTTCCCCTATAATTTTGAGAAGATTATGTGGCAAGAACTCTTTTCTGGGCACAATGAAGTACGGGATAGTGGTAATTCGGTGATGGAATAGAAATAAAGAAGAACACAAAAGACTTAGCGACGCTGTTTTATTAAAATCAAAAACGAGAACGCCAGAGTAGTAAACCCCTAGCAGTACTTAAAAAAAAACAAGGCAAACTACAAAAGAAATATTTGCTTATTTAGAAACAATCACTACAAATATAATTGTAATGGATCGATGTACTGTATGGGATGTCTAAATGATGAAAACACGTATAGAATATGATAGTAAAATATATTTAAATACAGTTGCGATCTATCCAAACACAATGAGAGAATAATACAATAAAGTGAGGTCAAATATTATATAATATATCATATCAAATAACACGACATATAAGAAAGAACGTTTCAAATATATAAATTTAAAAATAATAATATCAAAAGAGTTCGGCGGTCGGTCGCCAACAATATTAAAGATTTAATTTATTGGGGAGATTCATCAAAATTTTAATACCCCTACGTAATTTAGATAAGATTCGGGCGGACAGTGATACATTCATCTAGCAACACCATTTAAAGCAGAATCGCATCGTTCTCCAACCGACACTTGAGCTGCTAACGCGAGCGAATGAGGAAAACCATTAACCAAATATGTTTTATATTCCAAACCTATTGATTATTTTACTGACCACAACGAATGAACAAACAGACATTTTCAATCTATTCGCATTGGTGTAGTTTATAAATAATCTTATCACCATATAACGTTCCGTTTAGTGAAACTGGAGTCAGTCGTTGGAGCGCACAGTGAAATATACACGCCAATAACAATGTACCGCGCCATAATTCTTATAACTTTGATTATCGCCGTGGAATGCCACCGCCATTGCTGGAGACATTCATCACCATGTCATAGAAGACATCACGAGTACCGTATCAGAAGCCGAGAGAGAACCTTCGACCACTTAGCAAGAGACGTCATATCCATCGATGAGAATCTAAAGCAACTGTGCTCTGAATACAATAATAATAGAAGCGTTGAGCTCTTTAAATCCGATGTCTATACAATACAAGTTTCACTAGATGATTTTCCAGAAGAAGGTATTTTTCTTAAAACTAAGTATCGCGTTTTATATATATACGCAGAAAAAACTGATGAATCTATGACAAATTATTTTGAGCTCAGAATATTGCCGGATATAGTCAATATTCGTCAAGCTACATGGACTTTCAATAATGGTGTACTAGAAATAGATATTCCATATAAAGCAACTAATAATGATAACTACGTAAGGAATTGTGATGATGAAATTGACGATACAGAATTTCAAGTTCCAAAAGATAATTCAGTGGATTTCGATTTAAGAATTTTGAGTAATGAGGGGAATGTAGCGGTCACGACTGATAGTACAGCACAACTGACAGAACCGAGTAAAACAATTAGGAATCAGCAACCTTCAAAAAATTCTGTCAGCACGAAAATTTATTGACAAATTAATTAGGAATACGCAAACAACAATATTTAAACATACAACAATATACAAATATATTTCAATAATATGCTACTTTGTTTATTCATTCGTATCTACTAGATCAAATGTTTGTGTCAGAGATTCCATTATAAAAAAATTGAACATTTAAATGGCAGAACTGTGTTGTTATCAACAAAAATTGATGTGAATTATTTATATATAATTTCAGTGCCTTAAATTTATTATGTCATTTGAACTGTTAATACATATATAATATATTTAATTGCTACCCTTGAACTGACGTTAAAAAATATGTATTTATTAAATACTATGAACCAATTTTCACGAGTTTGTTTTATGTACATAATAGATATAGGCTATATATTATGTAATTATCCTCGAGATAAAACCTACATATAACATATGTAATTTCGTTATAATATGTGCAAACAGATATATTTTCGCATTTATGGCTTTTGTATGGGGATTAAGTATATATATTTTATATAGTTTAATATCACTGGCAACGGTAGTGAACATAGTAGAACATACTCACAATGCTTAGTGATATATGTATAATATTATAATTAAACTTCAATAGAATAGAAAATCCTTTATTCAAATCAACTTAATTTAAGCACGTTTGAATAGTCAACCTTCTTTTAATCTACCGCTCATTTGGAAAGCTGTCTCATTACAAGAAGAACTAGCAAGAAACTTGCGTGTTGCTCTTTTAAATAAACATTGTAACTTTACACTTTTATGTCTAAACGTGTGAATACAAACTACCGACTAGCACTAATTTATTAGGGTCAAATATTAAACACAGTTTAATAAGACCTTCTGTAGTCGAGCAAAAAAAAAAAGAAAGAAATAACGTTAAAGGAAAAAGAAATTTCAGGGTTCGAAGGTACTCCAGAATGTTAAGGAATAAGTGGTAACGCGGCTGTTAACATGATATACGGTGTTTAGTGGGTTAAGCACACCGCTTTTCTTCCGATTGTCGCAGGTTCGATTTCTCGCACAGTACAAACTCTTGTATTCATGAGTATGACTGCTTGTCTACGTGTTTTCTATATATATTTTTAATGGGTGGTAATGGTATGGTTCAACTGCCTGCACTAACGGTATATACTGGCAGGGCACTAGTGGAAGATGATAGGATAAGCATGAGGTCAGCCCATCATGAGATATTTACCAGGAATTTATCACGATGGTTTCCAGGGTGAACCGCGGAAAGGTCTGATATGATACAATGCTAGCAATAGTCAACAGTCCACGTTACTAACACTCTACTTCCCTCCTTTCTGTTCTTCCATATTATGTAGGTATTAGAAATAAAGTATACCTATGTATTTGTAATAGTTGTCTAGTACCTATATCACAAGCTCTGTGCAGCTTGGAACTAGATGGCGCTTTATAAAATTGTCCTGATATTTATTACACTATGCAAGATCTCCACCGACAAGAGCATAGCTCTTAAATTATGAATGAATGAATGAATTTATTACACTTGCTACTGTTACCACCTACCATCCGGTGAGCTGACAATTTTGCTTGGTAATTACATAAAAAATGTAGTAATATTATTGAAAAAAGACGAGACACGACGTCTCTGAGTGCGAAGATAGCCGCCATTTCTTTAAAATTAAAGAGAGTGAATACTGAGAACCATAACTAGTAATGTTGATAAATTATTAAGACAAAAGAGTTCAATAGAGCAGAAACGCTTCGATAATAACATCAAGTCGCACAATAACTACGTAGTTATCGTATAACAGTCAACTGGACAATAGTAGGTAAAGTCTCTTGATACCTATTTGCAAATATTAGTTATCAGTAATCAGCTAACCTCTACCATTGTATCTGCTTCATTACATAGTATAAAACAAAGTCGCTGTCGCTATCTGTCCCTATGTATGCTTAAATCTTTTAAACATAGATAGAGCGATTCTAGAGGAAGGTTTATATATATAATACATGTACACCCGTGCGAGGCCGGGGCGAGTAGCTAGTATAATATAAGTGTTAGTATTAAAAATCATCAAAACAAAACTTCGGTAATGTTCAAGGATATATTTTTCCGAGTACCAACCACTTCGTTCACTTCGGCGTACGATAGAGGGCGAGTGCAGAAGACACTCCAAACTCGCGGAAGAACTTATGGAGCGGCTGAAGGCCAACTCCCGCCTGACCGCACCTGAGTGCACCGCTAGGGTTTCGAACCTCGGCTCAGACTTGCGCTCCCGCGCGACCTACTCTCCACAGAGTGATCACGTCATTTACGTGACGTGGCGGCGTTAAGCCGGCTCGGCGAGCTGCTTATAGAGTCCCCCACACACGACTTCCTCAGCCGGCTGCTGGGAAGCAGTTCGTTTACCGGTAACCGAACGACGCTGGTGTGGCACACCCCAGCAGTACGCCCGGGTAACGAGCTTATGCTCGGGGCCCGCACTCGGCAGTCCGTAAGGACCAGCGGACGACCCAGTCAGCCATGAAAGTCCTTCCGCGGGTTTGAAACATGAGTTGTCTCATTTTGGACATCAACTTGTCATGGTACATTGCTAGCAATTGCGTCATCAGTTCTACAATCCCCTTCCCTCCTATATGCAAGGGTTATCATTTTCCATCAGGTAGGCCATTAGATTTTCCATTGGAATTGTTTAAAAAATTGTTATTTGGTGAGTTGCAGTGGATTATTACCAACGGTAGGACCACAGTTGACAGTGGCTGTCCCTACAGAGACGTTATCGTTAATCTGTCCACTCAGGCGAGGAACACAAACAATTAATGTGTTTGTAACATTATCACAGTATTGCCAGATAACCGGAGATTTTCCCCAAAATTTTACCCGCAAAATTCAAGTATCGAAGATAAATCCTTCCAATAAACGAAGTTTATATGTGATGTCAACTTTTCTATTTCTAGTCTGCATTTTTGTTTTTGGTTTTAAGTCATACTTCGATGGAGATTGAAACCCGGGTGAGGATTTTTTAAACCTCTTTTTTACAGTGTTGTTAAGTTACAACCAAATTGTTTGAAAGAGCAAAACGCAAGTTTCTTCCTCGTTCTTCTTGTGATTAGACTCTCCGTTTGAGCTGTAGATTAAAAAAAATAAGTAACGACTAATGAAAAGGGCTTCAATTTAAGTATATTTGAATAAAAAAAAAATCTCTACTATCCTTTCTATTGTACAGTTCTCCTATGTTTAAGGTTATTGTTTTTTAACAATAACGCTACAACTTCATAAATTTCTTTTCATCGTCATAAATTTCCTTAAAATTGGGTAAAAACTCCCCAACGTGGCATTACTGCATCGTTTGTTTGTTTAACAGCCTTTATCGAATTCGACCTCTGTATTCCTTTGTGATGTCAAACCTAATTGTACATAGCAGGATGACAGGGGTAGTTACGGGGACTATTGCTGTAACAATGGTCGACCTCCACCCGGTCCCTTTTGAAAATCATCGTGGTTAATAATACCTACTGAATTTCTAATAATAATTATATCCCTAAACAATTCACACAGCGCCATCTAGTCCCAAGTTAAACATAGCCCGCGTTATGGATAGTAGGTAACTGATACAAATACCTTAATACATTTTTTCTACAATTACATACTTATACATGGGAAATACCCAGACTAATACAAACAATCACTCATGAATACAAATATTTTTCTGTGCGAGGAATCGAACCCGCGACCATCGGAAAGTAAGGCGGTATGCTAAACCGTTAGACCACCGAGACTGTCTTTGAGTGATTCGATCATATCTTTTTCCACTTGCCCGGGTGCATGCATGCATCTCTGGATCTACTATACCGATTTTGTAAATTAATTTTTTTTAGTTTTACGTAAAACTACAAAAAATTAATTTATATTTACGCCCATTTATGGAAGAATATTATCATTACATAGTATAAAACAAAGTCGCTGTCACTGTCTGTCCGTCCCTATGTATGATTAAATCTTTAAAACTACGAAACGGATTTTGAAGCGGTTTTTTTAGTAGATAGAGTGATTCAAGAGGAACGTTTATATATATAATACATGTACACCCGTGCGAAGCCAGAGCGAGTAGCTAGTAAGCTATATAATATTACGCTACGACCGATACCAAAATAATAAGAAAAATATACAATAACAAAATAAAAATGCATAATGCAAAATGCGTGTTCTCCTGTTATCGTATCAGGATGTGGTATAAGGGACAAAAGGCTAACTTTAATTAACTGCATAAAACTTGCACAGATACGCTTATATGTATATACTTTGTTTCCGTTCGATTGTGAATATATTGAGTTCTACTTCTGATTGGAAAAAAATAAATATCAAAAATGGACTTTAAATTAATATTGAAATAATTTAATTTCCCTCAACTTTTAGGTGTTTTTTTTTTATGTTTTTTTTTTTTATTATCTGTATTAATGTAATTATTAATGTAATTAATTTTAGGTTTAAATAATAACATCGATTGTATCTTGTGAAATAATATTTTTTTTAATTTCCCTCATATTTCACTAGAAGTACCCGCGGTTTTGTCCGCATGAAATTTGTAGCCTATGTGTTATTTTGATGTAGAAGCTATATTAGTGTAGTTTCATCAAAATCAAAAGAAACACACATCCATCCATCTGTCCAAAAATACTCACAAACTTTCGCGTTTATAATATTATTGAGGTTCCACTTTTCATGCATCTGTTAATCCAAAAAATACTACACAATTTTTTTTTATAACGTAGGAGACTAACGAGCATCCGGCTCACGTGATGGTAAGTGATTACCGCCGCCCATGAGCACCCGCAACACCTGGGGAATTGGAAGTACGTTGTTTTTTTTTGGCCTTTTAAAAAGGAATAAGCTCTTTTCTGGAAGGTTTCCATATCGTATCGGAAATACCATTGTTGGAAGGTGATTCCACAATGTGGTTGTGCGTGGCAAAAAGTTTCTAGGAATCCGCACTGTGGAGGACCGCCATTCATCCAGATGATCAGGAGTTACTGGCGGATGGTACGGTGGTGAAACTCAGCAGCTGGTATTAATCCGAACAATTCCTCAGAACACTCCCCGTGATATATGCGGTAGAAAATGCACAGAGATGCAATATCTCGCCTTAAAGCTACTCGTCGAGAAAATACTACACAAATATATAAAACACCATATATATCTTATAAAATAATTTAATAAAAAAATATTTACATATTAATAATTAACGGGTACGAATTCCACCTCGTTGTTTAAGTCTACCGCATAAGTGGTAGCTTCCACTGGTTCTTGCCTATCAGGGATTTCGTTGGTCAAAATTTCTGCGTCATTATCACCTCTGGGACCGACACCGACGTCTGCGTCCTGATTGTCGTCATTGTCGTTGCCCATCACCTCTCGACTATGTTCTTCATTAGCAGCTTGAGATGGTTCGACAGTTATAGGATTTTCTGTGGTAATCGCTCCTTCTTTAAGAGGGAATTCAATGGTGAGGATATCTTTGCCATAAGTCCACGTTCCGTTTAAGACAATAGCCTCTGGTAATGTTCGGACATCGAGGTAGCTTCGCTGACTAACTTCTCCATACTTATGCACAGCTTGCACCATCAGAACTCCTTCGCGTGCCTTCACTGCTATATCTCGCTCCTGATAACCAACCAATGGTATTGTGATTTTGTAAGTATTATCAACCACTCCCTCACTGGATACGCTGCTCGGGAATTTCAAATAGAAATCTTTTAGCATTATATCAAGCTGCTTCATCTCGTTTTCCAGTTCAGCCCAAAAAGATCTTGTGTCGAAAATATTTTCTCCAAAACCGGGGTAACGTTCGAGTGGCGATGTTTGGCCATGATTGAATCCATGGTGATGATGATGGTGGTAATGGGGAGCTGCTGTAGCCACAGCCAGCACACTCAGTATCACGGCAGCGTTCATTGTCGTGCTTCAACTTTATAACTGTCATCGACAAATAGTTCCACGCCATTTATAGCTCGACGTTTGTCTCGACAAGGAGGGTCTAAAGGTTATCATTGTCTATTCATTTAGTACATTCTGGAGTGATCGCATTCACACTGGGGTCGTCTTTTCTCGGTACTGCGATAAGACGTTGATGCGTCAATAGACCTTATGTATATTTATACAAGTAATTAATTCATTTGTTGAGGAAAAATACGGCTAATCTTACATAAATTGGGAGAGTACCGCTCTAATTTACTTGGATTACATTTACTGTTTTCACATATTTGTTATCAGTTCATTATCATTTTCGTATAATTATTTATATGGATGCATGAATTCCTTGTTTTATTACTGTTAAAAAATGTTATCGTAATAAACAAAACTGTTGAATTTGTTTATATTTTTTTTTAATTGACATTGTTTTTTAATATCGTATTACTTGTACATAGTAGTGTATATGTATATGTTATTGAATTAGGTGGTATTTTGCGGAAGTTGACTTCAGTACGTAATGAATTTATATAATTTTATTTATTTACGCTACCATTGCCATGTGTGAGGTCACAAATACTCAGTACAGAAACCTAACCACCGCTGGAAGCGTTACGACCTTCTCTATTGTTGCTTAAATTCCGACCACTATTGAATCTACACCATATTGCGACACGTGTTTCGCCTTTGAACAAGGCATCATCAGGCTATAGACGAGTTCGGATATAGCTTGGAAGCCTAGTTGACTATTCGGTGAACAAACTGCGACTCATATGGGCAGTTTGTTTCCGCTATTCTCGTCTACTTTATTAATAAATATTATGTTTTTTTTTATTATATATCATCAGCTATTTCATTATAATTTTTTTATTAATCAGCTATTTCATTCTGTCTAATGCCTTCCAATTTGTTTTAATTTCTATATTGTCTTGAATTGTTCATACGAATGAGCTAATGATAGATCATTTTTTGGTGAAAATTGAGATCTACACTTACTTGCAATTGTAAAATTACATAGTATAAAACAAAGTCGCACTCGCTGTCTGTCCGTCCCTATGTATGCTTAAATCTTTAAAATTACGCAACGGATTTTGAAGCGGTTTTTTTAATAGATAGAGTGATTCAAGAGGTAGGTTTATATATATAATACATGTACACCCGTGCGAAGCCGGGTGGGTAGCTAGTTTTATATATTAGTTTAAGTTATTCTAAGCTATTGTATAAAATATTTTTTTATATAACTGGAATCGTGACCGCTGAATAGAAGGTGGCAGCCGTAACATATACACATTAACAATACTACATATATTAGAGAGAATAGAAGGAGGAGTAGGTTTATATGTATAATACATGTACACCCGTGCGAAGCCGGGCGAGTAGCTAGTTGCAAATAAGAACGAAACGCAAATTAAATATTTTTAAACAAATAATCAACAATTTGTGTAACACTTGTGAATAACAATTTTTTAACAAGTTTCGCGGATGACAAAAACGTTTTGTTACCGCGTCCTTTTTACCGACTTAAAATATGGAGATTCTATATTTGATGCCTGTGTATTTATTTTATTGTATGCCATCGTCAATTGTGAACCGATTTTTATCTATACAAATGAATAAAATGAAAGTGTCTGTTTGTAATTTCAAATAACTAAGTGCATATGAAAATACTTTCATATATAAAAAAAAAATTCTTTCATTTGTATATTGTTATTAAACTGTGAGACGGCTAATTTTGGCGGGACTTTCATTCGTACATAGCTAATAGCTAGCATAACCCTTTCAAAACTGGCGTGCAAAAATTATATTTTATGTCTACTATTGTAGTAGACATAAAATATAATTTAAAACGATTTTATAATTTCCGATTGAAAACGATTGTATTCATTTGTTCACTTATAAATATTCAATTTAGTACTACTAATTTGTTTTTAAATATTTGAAGCATTTTTTTTTTCTCCTTATTATACTTTAGACGTATGGTATTTACCAAATTAATCGGATGTAAAAAAAATAAGTAACTTAGGCTATTTTTATTCATTTTAATTCCACGCTAACGAAGTCACGGGTAACAGCTAGTCTATACATATAATAAAAAGATAAATGGTCGCTGTCTGTACATGAGAGATATATGAGAAAACCTACTATTATATTACTGGGAGACTTTATGATCACAATAGAAACCAGGACACTGATATTGAGAAGTTTCATTTTGTAGCTTTGCGCACTATTTTCGAGTACTCTGTACGGCTGGATCGATTTGAATGTGATTTTAAAAAATTACTTGTAATAAACAGTACTTAAAATTTAGGTTTATTTCCAATCGGTTCCCGATTATTCTTAAGAAACAAGTTATGAACTTCAAATGTTATGATAGATGTGATGTGATGTGACCTAACAGGTTTAGCTTAGCACTTGGTCGCGGGTCCGATTCTTCGCACGATACAAACATTTCTATTCATGACTATGATTATATTTTAAATATTTAAATGTTAATTCTTAAAAAAATCGGAACTGGTTGTCTATGTATATTATGTATGTATTAATATCATTTCTCTAGTACCCATAACACAAGCTCGGCTTAGAATGCGCCTAGATGGCGCTGTGTGAATTATATTGAAAAAAAATATGATTAAATCATTAAAACTAAATGAAACTTAATTATTCATTTTGCAATCGTTATGATTAAATAAAACTGAATTGGATATAATATATATAATATACATATATATGCAACACGACAATTACAATCAACTTAATATAAAACTGAACAAAAACACAAAATATCACAAACAAACATTACTAAGAAGTATCAAATAAATAATATGGTTAGTTGAGTAATCTAATATTGCATTCATGTTAATATTATCAATTATATGAACTAATTTATTATTGTACCTATTATGGAAATTACTTAGTATACTATGAGTCAATCTGCGTGTAACAAGGATCCACAATGAACGAGAGATATCTTTGGTGATACATCATAATTCCAACAAACTGTATATCTAGTAGAGATGTGTCAACTCGAGTTACTATCTCGAGTTGAATAGCCAACTCGAGTTGGAACAATTCAACTGGTAAATGAATGAATCAAGTGAAAAAGCGAGAGCATGATTCTGTCATCGAACCGACAATGACATGAAATTATCCCATCATTTCATATCATACAATTTTCACTCGTCACAAATATTTCAGTATTGATTTGAGGTTGTTATCATTTTTTTCGCATATTCATCCGATTATGTTATCATTAAAATTATTATGCGTTCTATAAGTCTTTCCGCGGCTTTAAAGTGCCATTTCTATACGCGTCCTATAGTTCGGTGAAGCTTTCAAGGCTAGCTGCGCCCAAAAACAATAGAATTATTCGAAATAATAAAAAAAAACTTCTTATTCCAGGTAACTCGAGTCAACTCGAGTTATATGAATTTCAACTCGAGTTAACTCGAGTCATGTTTATTATGAGTTAGCACATCTCTAATTTCTATCATTATGTTGAATTATGGTTAGAGTTGCCAGATATTTTTAATAAGGGCCAAAATCTTAAATAGGCAAAAAAATACAGATATTTAGTTTTTTACCCAGGACAAATAAAAAACAAAATTATATAGTCACATTCTTTATTTTTTATATATTTTCTGAGGAGCAAGTCAGCTTTAACATATTTTTTATTGGTTTTAGCATATTTATAAAAACCAATACAATTATAATAGTAATTAAAAACGGTCATCAATTCGCTTTTTATTAAATTAAAGATACGAATCTTGCGTGCGTGAGTATCTTTGTCTAACGAATCGATCGATTTAATAACAAAAAACGGAGCACGATTCGAATACGGGACAGAGTCAGTCACGCCACGCCGCCGCGCCGGGACATTTTAAACTAAGCCTAAAATGCGGGACGTCCCGGGAAATACGGGACGTCTGGCAACGCTAGTTGTGGTCCGCATTTTTTTTATAATCTTCTTTTTTTATATTATCTTTTTATTAATTTATACAGTATATATGTACATGAATTACGGATTCTACAGCCGGAGGTTGTAAAAAAACTCCTTTCCAGTTCTAATTAAAACTAACAATCATTGTATATATTACTATATACATTATATAAATAACACACACAGACACATTTTAGGGTACTGGCACCAGTAGTTGGTAAGTCTGGGTTCAAACTTATATAAGAAAATATTAGAAACAGTAAATTGAAAGTCAGTATATATTTATTAAACTTTGTTACAAAATTAACTTTGGAAAAATTACAAATTTATCCTTTAATAAAGTGAAAAATACTTTTTAAAAAATAAGGCACTTTTCACCAGTTCTAATTAAAACTAACAATCATTGTATATATCTTTGTATATATTACTATATAAATAACACACACAGACACATAAACCCACACTTACCCACATACCAATATTTAAAACTAGCTGTTCCCGCGACTTCGTCCGCGTGGAATTAAACTTTATTTTTCTAAAATAAAAGTAGCATAAGTTACTCCATATTACAACAGCTACCTGCCAAAAAAGTCCCGTCAAAATCGGTCCAGACATTTCATAGATTAGCCGGAACAAACAGACAGACAGACAGACAGACAAAAATTGTAAAAAAAATATTTTGGAGACAAAAATTGTAAAAAATGTTATTTTGGTGTATGTACCGAATTTATATTCATATGCATGTAGTAAAAAACGGTTATTTCAATATTACAAACAGACACTCCAATTTTATATATGTGTATAGATAACTTAAGCACAATAATTCAACTATAGAGGGAAATTATGGGAAAGCAACTCAGTCACTCAAACACATCTGTGACTGAGGTGCTTTGCCATCATTTCCTTTTTAACTTACTATACAATTCTAAAAGAAAAAATATCAAACTATATTCTTGATTGCGATATTCAAACGCAATTCATACGGAAATGTAAATAAAAAAACTCATAAATGTAAATAAATAAAAAAACTATAAATATAGTCCTATCTTATAGCGAAATAAACCTTGTATAATGCCATAAAAAAGGCAAATACCATTGATACGTGTCAACTAGTCGGCGCCATTTTGATTTGATCCGTATAGCATTCTGCCAAAGGTTACGCTTCAGATATTTATGTATATTTGTCTTCTTTGGTTTTTTAAGATAGCCATTTGGGCCGTTCAAGTATTATGTACTATGGGGGGCGGGGGATCTTTAGATTGCTTATTTTGGGTGACATGGGGGGGTGGGGGAGTCTAGATGATGATTACGTCATCACTAGTCATCACATTTACACGAATGTCTTTACCAAAAAACAATACATTAATTGAAAAATGTTTACGTAATCATTGGGGGACAAGAGCTGTGCTTACTTTTGCTGACAAGGGGGATGGGGGTAAATAATTGTAATAAATCTGCTTACGTAATAATTGAACGGCCCCGTATGAATAATATTTAAGTCACCTACAATACCCTTCACAGGAGGAAAGGAGATTGTTAGTAATGTGGACTGATGATCTTATTGCTAGCAATGTACCATGTTAGGTTGGCCTCCACGTGGTTCCTCCTAGACAACCATCGTGATAAATTCCTAGTGAATTTGTCACGATGGGCTGACCTGACTTCGTGCTTATCTTATCATCCTCCACTGGTGCCCCGCCAGCGTAAACCGTTGGCGCAGGCGGGTGCATAATTCCATTATCATCCATAAAAGAATACTCTTCATATATTTATGTACCTTTGCCTTCTTCTTGGGAGATGATGAATAATTATAATACCCTGGAAAAATCACACAGCAGCATGTAGTCTCAAGATAAGCAGAGCTTCTGTTATGGGTGCTAGACAACTGATACAAATACATAGATACATTTTTTTTGTAAATACATACATATTTAAATATACAGACCGATACAATCTTAATCATGAATAAAAACTGTTAGGGAAAATACTCTCTGCTACCAAAATGTTGGGGAAAATACTATGTATATATATAGGTAAAAATAGGTGGAAGCGTCAGTCACGTACCTGTATGGTTCTGCGGATTTCTTGGGCTTCAGGGTCTCGAAGATTTTATCACATCTTTTTATACACATGTATTATACACATTGCTTTCGAGATGTGGTGTTGGCGCAAAATGTTAGGAATATCATGGACAGAGCGTCGCACTAATGCATCTGTTTTGGAACAACTGGATATCAGAACCCGTCTCTCTACTGTGTGCTTCCAGCGTCTGCTAACTTTTTTCGGCTAGGTGGCCCGCCGAAAACCAGATAATTTTGAAAAAAATATAATGTTGGGCCACGCGGACGGTAGAAGGGGCAGAGGTAGGGCACCTGCATGTTGGACTGATCCTGTACGAGAAGCAGTCAAACAAAATATACAGTCGGCGGTCCATTTAGCACAGGATAGAAATGCCTGGAGAGTACATTTTTGGAAGGAGCATTCCTATTTAAGTCACGACCCTCAGTCTTGAGGAACCGACAAAGAAGAATTATACACATAAACCTTCCTCTTGAATCACTATTGCTAAAAACTGCATTAAAATCCGTTGCATACTTAGTTAAAGAGATCTAAGCAGGGGCGGATCTATCTAAGGGCTTTTTGGGCTGCAGTCCAGGGCTCGAGGATACAAAGAGCCCCTAGTCCCCACTGAAACGATAATTAGGATTGTGAAAAAACCTATCATAAAATTGGCAACCCATGCAAATGCGCGTCTATCGAAAAGAACGGAGAATTTCTGGTCGCTTGTTTTTGGTCGGTGTATATTTTTAGTTTAGTAATATATGTAATTAGGTAGGGCTCCTAAGTAAATTCAGCCCAAGGTCCCACAAATTCATTATCCGCCCCTGGATCTAAACGAACAGACAGCGAAAGCGCAATTATTTTTTACTATGTAAAAATTTGAAGCCGTATCTTCTACTGTGACTCATTTGGTTTTTATAACATTTGTCAATACGTTAGAAAATAATTTGAAGTGATAACCTGGACCCAGTAACATAACAATAATAGGCGTAATACATAAGTAATGAGTAACAAAAAAACAGACAGTGAGTCACACTTCTGAATAAAATAATGTAAACACATGTAGGTATGTTTTCTTCAAATAAATGATAATAATTTTACTAAGGATTGTGCAATATAAATAAATAAATATATTTTTTTATTATATATTACAAAATATATATTTATTAATATTAGCGATATACATTAAATAAAATAAAAATATGATTGATTAAAAACCATCGCTCCTAAGAATATCCTTCAATTCTTGTCCCTGACGGGTCTAGGTAGCGAACTCTGAAAAACGGCGAGCATTTAGATCTATGTAGGTGGCAGTGCTATAGGTCCAAGCACCGGACAATAGCCCAAAATCCTTCAATAAAGAATAAAAAAATAACTACATAAAAAAACAAAACATAAATTTTATTAACAAAATTTGGTTCTAAAATCTTAGTTAACCTCATATCTACTAATTAAGTTTTTATGGGGAATTATTGATAATTGCACAAAAATAAATAATAACTATTTCAGGAGTTCTTAAGAACAAACTTTGAATGTAGATAAGGATTTTTTATTTATATTTTCCATAATAATCACAATGATATCCATCCATTCAGACCACGATTCATCAGTTACAATAAATTGTTTGTAATAAGAGAAACAATGTAATAGCGACATCTAAAATCTACAAGAAGAAGTATTTATTGCATGCTTTTTCCTCTATTAAAAGTTTAAGTTAATACCAATAGATGGCGGTGCATTCATTTACATTGGTGAAGGAGTTATAAATTAACACTTCCCATAATCAATTATGGGAAGTGTTAATTTATAACTCCTCCTAATATATTTAGTGATACTTAATATTTAATATTTTCTTTACTTACTTTTCCTAGGCCGTTCGCGCCATGGGGTGCCAGATTTTAAAAGTTATGTAAGAGAAAACAATCAGTGCTGCTAGTGTCGCTAGATGGCGCTATTACTTTCTGATGCATTTCAACTGCTTTCAATGATGATGGTGCAATGGTGCACCCGCCTACGTTAACGGTTTACATTGGCGGGAAAATGGGATGAGCCTGAAGTTAGGTCGTTTGCCCATCGTGACAAGTTTTTTAGAAATTAATTACGATGGTTCCCATGGGGACCTCGTGAAGATTAACCTGACATGCTAATTTTTTTTATAGATGCTTATGAAATGTTTTATCCCCTGCGCAAACAGATTACGCCGGCGAGGCATAAACTGTTGCGGTAGTCCATCGTGACAAATTCACCAGAAATTTATCATGGTTTCCAGGGAGAACCGTGTGAAAATAAACTCGACATGGTATATTGCTAGCATTGGGAATGGGAATAATATTAATACATGAGGTAAAAACTTTTCCCACACTTGTTTCTAGAGGTGAGGGAGAGCAAAATGCTACTATTTTTAACAACATTGATAGGATACTATTTATTGAACAAAATAATGTAAATTATGCATAAAAATACATTAAATCCATATAAAAAAAACTACACACATATATACCTACTCTTTTGTTTATTAATAAGATATATATATTAATACATAATAATACAAATGAAATTTGACTAGAAATGCAATTTATTAAGACACAAACATCATATAACACTTAAATATAAAAAACGGAATGTTTACGTACATAAATAAATATTAACAGTCATTCCAATAGCTTAAAACTCTATTCTCCATTACTTTCCGATTGTTTCTTAATTGGTCCGGTTTGAACTATAGGTACAAGTCTCTCGACTTCTCCTTTCGGCGGTTTTGGAGGCGCAATGATAGTCAAAACACCGTCTGAAGATAATTTCGAGGTTATATTCTCGGTGTCAACGTCCTCTGGCAGTGGATACCTTCTTGAAAATCTCCTCGAAATAAAACCATGTTCGTCCTCTCTCTCTTCATGATTAGCTTCTACAACTAGAAACCCATCAACAGTCTTCACGGCTATTTCTTCAGGTGCGAAGTGTTGGACGTCCAAATTTATTTGAAATTTCCCTTTCTCCGCTTTAATTGTGGACCCTGTGTGCCGAGCTGCTCGTAGGTTCCTCCAGTTCCTGTAGTAATCCTGGTTGCCTTGAGGAATCACTATGGTCACGTAATCCTTAGGCCTCAGTCCTAAACCCAATTGATTGAACAGCCTCGGTTGCGGCTGTTCATTTCTGATGTAATATGGACACACATACATTTCTATTATATATGTAGATCACTAATTAATTACAAACAATATTCTTATTTTATTATTCTCAACGAAAATTAATTCAACAAGTAACACGTGAATTAATCGAATGCACTTTACAATTCGCTTGTGTCAACAAGAATGGCGTCCATGTTTCAAACATTGCTATTTATGCTACACCGGCGCCATCTAGTCACCGGTAGAATAGTCTAGAACGTTACTCTAGAACGGTCTCAGCGCTATCGCATGCTCACGCTGACGTCAGAGATTGTAAACCTTCTTGTTACTGACAGCTTGTACACCATTCTTTTTATTATTTTTGTACTATTTTTGATATCTGTTTTTTGATATGTCAATTTTGACTAGATTTCTTCCCAGTGAGTCCTTTTGGGAAAATATACACATTTATTAAAGATTTTTATTAATACTCGTTGTGTTCCCGCTCCAGTCCCACCTCTATTATATTTATTTTCATGTCTCTGACATTGCAAGTATAAAAAAATGAACAATATATTAATTAGGTAGTTTATATAAATTTGTCGTCAAATAATAATAGATCTTATTTAATTTTTTAATATTTATATATTTATGTCATTAAATTAATTTAATAATAATATTATTTATTATTATGCAGTCGTTTGAATGAAAAACATATGTTTTCGTTAATTACTACATTTCCCTAATAAAATAGAATAAAAACATTTAATAATATTTACTGTTCTTATATAATACTAAGTTAAAAAACTAAAACATTTGATGAAACAAAAAAATACAAGTACATATCTAAAATAAACAAATTTATTTCATTATTATAAAATAAAGCAATTATCTTTATTTAATCAAAAATATCAAAATTCAAAATATCTTTATTCATGTAAGTCTAACGAAAACTTGACAGACTTTTATATATAAGATATATATATATATATAGACTATATAAAAGTCAGTTCAGAATGATTTCGATATGAGAAGAACTGACAAGAAACTCAGCTCGTATTCTTTTTAATCAGAATATTAAATGTTAAAAAAATGTACTTTATTTACACACACATATAGATTTGTAAAAAACAGACAGCGAAAACTTTGTTTTATATAATAATAATATACAATATAAAAATATACACATTATCAAGTAATAAATTAAGAATACTAGTCAATAGATAATTGGGATTTTTTTTAAACATTGATATAAATAAAGATTTTTAAACATCATAGATAGATAGTCTTTAATTTAGGTAAAGATACTATAAAGTATACATAATAATAACATTTATCTATACAACGAAACTGTTTAGAACCTCTGCGCATTATTTGTCATCTGACGTATTATGATGAAATCACTCTCAAGATTCTCGAATAATCTTTCATGTGCAATTTTCGTAAATATTGTGCATTATATAAATTTTTTTTTCTATTTTTTATTTCTTGCTATTTTAATCATTAATAGCTTAACTAATATTTTCAAAAAGGATAAAATGTTGAATTTTTATGAATTAAAGTCTCGCAATAATTCTACTAGACAACAGATGGCGCCAGTTACTATGTAGCATGTAATAATGATATTTTTTTAAGGTTTTTAATTTTAGGTTCTTAGTTGTACAATTAGGTTATGTAAATAATTATATGAAATTTTGAATTTAGAATTCAGTCACATTTATTTGCATTAAATCAATTTCATTGTTCGAGAAATAGGTATTAATTTAATAAATTTTGTTTATGATTTCCCCACACAGTCATAAGTAATGTTAGTACTTGTATTGACTAACTTTTGACATAGAAAATTAACAACCTTACTAGATTTTTTCTAGATGTGACCGTCATTTCTATACCTGGATTAAATCATAAGATATTAACTGTTTATTTATATATAAAACTACCTGTTCCCGCGACTTCATCCGCGTGGAATTTTATTTTATTTTTCTAAAATAAAAGTAGCCTAAATTACTCATTACACAGCTACCTGTCAAAAAAGTCGCTTCAAAATCGGTCCAGCCATTTCAGAGATTAGACGGAACAAACAGACAGACATACAAAAATTGTAAAAAATGTTATTTTGTTGTATGTACGTATTTATATTCATATGCATGTAGTAAAAATGGTTATTTCAATATTACAAACAGACACTGCAATTTTATTTATATGTATAGATTAACAATCATTAAACAAGGGGACGTATTTATAATCCACTATAACATTGGAAAATAAATTTATATACCTACTGTTACCTATGGTGTGACGCACCATTAATTAAAAATGGTAAAGTCAATAATCATGTAACCTGAAACGGAACGTCAGAGGCCAGAGCCAAAGTAATCTATGTGACATTGACAAGTGGATGACGGATGATTGAACGTAGGCAGCGGGAGTTTTGGAGCGAAAGTGTTTATATTATTATAATAACAAATAAGAGATAGGTAATTGTGAATATTGCAGGCATTGAGGTGTTTCTCTCACTGACCAACCGGCATTACGCCTAAGTCGTCACTAGTGATTTTAAAACTACCAATGTTTTAAAATATAATATTTACATTGGATGTTTATTTCCATATTGCACAAAATATACATGTTGACTAATCTGTATATTTTGTGCAATATAGAAAGTGCTAAACAATCGACTTCGACAAAGATATTTTTAATTTGATCAACTTACCTCAGTATAACGTTTAATATATATTTTGTGTATGATTGTTTGTATCAGTCTGGATGGTTTGTATGTATATTATGTATGTATTTACAAAATAAACCATCTATGTGTTTATATCAGTTGTCTAGCACCCATAACACAAGCTCTGCTTACCGTGGGACTAGATGGCGCTGTGTTAATTGTCCAGGGTTATTTTTTTATTATTTTCCTCCCAGATTATATAACGTTTTTGTTTTAATTATAGTTTATTTTTCGAGATATTAATTCTACTTCACATATAACCTATATCTGTTATGTTATTATATTGATTCTCGGTTTCAGTATGTTACTATAATTATATTATTATTAAAAAAAAGAAGGTAATTATAATAAAATTATTTATTTAGAATACGAACAAATTTACATTCAAGTAATTTGATGGGAACTGAATTAAAATTAAAAAATTATCACATAATTATTTGAATTACTCTGTAAATTTATAACATAGGTATAACTATACAATACTCAACAGAAATAACTATTAAAATTAAACAATGTATTAAAGGTAATACAGTAGTAACTAATATAAAAAAATATCACATAAATATTTGAATCAGTCTGGAAATGTATAACATTGACCTTTAAATTCTTATTAAAATTAAACAATATATTATTATAAAATCATTTATTTATATCAAGAAATACTTGCAAATAATTGGTAATACAGTAGCAACTAGAAAATAGCACGTGTAGCAAAATAAATGGAATCAGTCTTGAAAATTACATTGACACCCGATGATACATTCACTTGGATATCTTGTTATCGGTTTCCTGCACGCTGTTCTCAGTTTCCTGGCAATCTTGAGACCGAATTTTTCTGTTAACAGGACCTGTATGAGTTATTGGTACAATACGTTCCCCTGTAGAAGGTAATGCTAGGACTTTCGGAGCAGTTACCGTCAGGATCCCGTCAGATGATAGTTTTGATTCCACAGTATCAGGTAAGCATCCTTTCGGCAGCGCATACTTCCGTACGAACTGCCTAGAAATGTAACCATGCTCGTCTCGCTTCTCGTCATGCCTCCCCTCGACTACGATTTGATTTTCCAAAACTTTCACGCTAACTTCATCCGGAGCGAAATGCTGTACGTCAATATTGACTTGGAATTTCTCGTCGTCGGTACTAATTTTAGTGTCAACCTCATTCAAAGCCAACTGGTTCATAGCAGCAGAAAGTTGTTCAATTGGTCGGATTATGTTTACCCATGGTAGGTAAGCGTTGTCGGAATGCCTCAGCTGGTGTGGCGCGAAAAATTCGCGCGCCAAATGAAACGGTGTGATCCCGAAATCGTGTAGGTAATTGTTGCGCTGCACTAACCGTAGCGGTCTTTCCAAGTCGTATAAATATGGTAGAATCGACATTGTTTGCCTGGATTTACAATCTTCGCTCTTCCCAATATCTCGTGTGATGCTTGAAATTGTACTGTCAGCGTTCCGGATACGAACCCGCTTTATATATAAACGGAACGTCAACTGCGCCACCTACAGGAATTTTCAAGAACAAGGCAGAATGCCAGAGAAGCTATTCCAGAATAGTCGCAATATGTATGAGAATAATTTTCTGAAATTGCGCCATCTGGTAGTCAATAGTAATTTGTTGACACTTAATACCTGAAACTACAATTAAATATAAATACAATATTTGTCTATAGTAATAAATCTCTATTAATTACTTAGTGCTATCTTAATATATTATTTTAACAAACTTCCATCAATATTTACACTACAGTTAAATTAGTCATCTAAATTTTTATGAAATAGCGACATCTAGCGTCAAATAGTAAACATTACTTGCACATATTCCTATTGATATCTATAAGTGATAAGTAATAGAATAAGAAATATTCTAGAACAGTCCCGAAATTTATATGACTTGGATATATTTATATTATTAAGACGATAGATATGAGTAAAAACGTATAATAGGTTTATGATTTTATTTAATTGTATCCACGACTGTGATCCTAAATAGAGTAATCAAAGATATTAACAACAGTCCACGTCGTGGTAAATATAACACTTGAAATGTCTGAGTTGTGTAGTTTTGTATTAATTAATTTAATTTAAACTCCTCAGTTATCTCTAGAAAAACTGTTTATTTTGTAACTTGTCTTAAATCTATCTTTAGTACACACTCAATGCTCTATGGGTCCGGACTTCCGGAGTCGCCATAGACTATATCTATATATTCTTTTAAGTCGTTTATCACTAATACATTACATTACACATGAGTATCATTGATAATATATGTATGTGATGAGGAGGGTGCAGAATGAGATCGTCAGTAATATGTCAAGAATATTATTATAAAACTTAAAAATAGTATAAAAACCTCCATCTTCCTACAATCAGGAAATCAACGTGGTTATTTCGCTATAAGTTCACAATGATCTACATCATTGAAAATGTACATTTGGCCAGATCTTTTTCATCCATATACTGAATTGGACGGTAGGGAAAAAACATTAATACTTATCTACAAAAAAAAAAATACGTTCATAAGCGGCTAAAATGTTCTACATACATGAATAAAGGATTTTTAATTTGATTTTATCCATTCTTGTCTCTACCTACAACATAGTATTACCACAGATAACACAAAGCAAAACAAAGCTTATGTTAATTTTATTTGCATAAAGATTATTTACATTTCTAATTTAATATATATATATATATATATATATATATATATATATATATAAACAATAAAGAACCCCTGGACAATTCACACAGCGCTATCTAGTCCCACGGTAAGTAGAGCTTGTGTTATGAGTACTGTACAACTGTTATAAATACTTAGATATATTTTGTTTGTAAATACTTCTAAATATATAACTCAAAGGTGACTGACTGACATAGTGATCTATCAACGCACAGCCCAAACCACTGGACGGATCGGGCTGAAATTTGGCATGCAAGTAGATGTTATGACGTAGGCATCCGCTAAGAAAGGATTTTGATTAAATTCCACCCCTAAGGGGATAAAATAGGGGATGAAAGTTTCTATAAATGTTCTTAGATTTTCGACTGATTGAACTGAAATTAAAGATTGGGACGTTCGCTTAAATAAGATATTGATAAATTCAACCCCCATGGGGATAAAATAAGGGATGCTGCAGGATGTAAATGTATTAGTTTATAGTTTTAGAACCTATCAGTACCTAATGGAACGAATAAATTGAAACGAACAAAACAATTTTTAGTTCTTTAGGCGACTTTTATTTTACAAAATAAAGTTAAATTCCACGCGGACGAAGTCGCGGGAACAGCTATTAATAAAATATACATAGAAAACACCCAGACCGATACAAACAATCATACTCATGAATACAAATCTTTGCGCAAGGAATCGAACCCGCGACCATCGGAAGTAAAGCGGTGTGCTAAACCGCTAGACCACCGAGGCCTTCTCAAATATATATAAATAACTAGCTGTCCCGGCAAATGTTGTTTTGCCTTAAAATTAGAAAAACTAATCTAGGGGTGGACTACCCCTAACATTTAGGGGGATGAAAAATAGATGTTGGCAAATTCTCAGACCTACTCAATACGCTCACAAAATTTCATGAGAATCGGTCAAGCCGTTTCGCAGGAGTATGGGAACGAAAACTGTGACACGAGAATTTTATACATATATAAGATAATAAAATAAGAATACTCGGAGAACGGCGATTTATGTTAAAGTTTTATTTGCTATTAGCTACTCGCCCCGGCTTTGCACGGGTGTACATGTATTATATATATAAACCTTCCTCTTGAATCACTCTATCTATTAAAAAAAAACTTCAAAATCCGATGCGTAGTTTTAAAAATTTAAGCATACATAGGGACGGACAGACAGTTTTTTTTGGACTACTCTAATGCTGTTGGCCGCGGCCGGCCTTTACAGCTTCACCGGACGACAGGGGGGAGTGCCGATGGTACTCCAAACCCGCGGAACTTATGGAGCGGCTAAAGACCAACTCCCGCCTGACGGATACGCCTTTAGTTTAGGGCAACTAGGGGTTCGAATTTCGGCTCAGGCCGTGGTAATATCGATCCCCGTTTGAATTGGACGGGGGATCGATCGTAGGGGGACGGACAGACAGCGACAGCGACTTTGTTTTGTACTATGTGTTAGATATATCAACTCTATGTACTAGTAAAAGTATGTATTATAATAAAATAACAACTATATAACATTAATTTAACTATGTCTCTAACACAATTCACTTTAGCAATTAAAATACAACCAGCACATCCTGTGCTCAAAGACCGAATGCCGCGGCCTACAAAAACCCTCCCGTTTATACAGAGAAGATATGAGTGGGGGTTATATGCAACTAGTTTAACGATACCGAGTAATAATGAAACTACCTTCTTTTAATATAAAATATCAGATTTTTCGACAATATCGATGTGAACCCTAACATATGTAATACAAGAATAGAAATATAAACTTAAGTTAACGCTTACATCATATTGTTCTCTCAACTTGAACTCCTTTTATATATGTGGAGATAATATTAATTGGTAGGTAGATTATTAGCATACCTAATGACCTACCTACTAATTAAAATTATTATTGATTATATACTTAATAAATAAATGAAAAGTGCAACGACCCTTTTCGTAGCTTCTGATAACTGCAGGCTTTATACAGTCCGTAATTAAAAATATAACAATATAATATATTTATATGTTTACATATATAAACAATAACTTATATGTAAACGAATAAATATACTATTTACATATTACATACTCTATTATCATCATTACATAGTATAAAACATAGTCGCTGTCGCTGTCTGTCCGTCCCTATGTATGCTCTTTAAAACTACGCAACGGATTTTGAAGTGTTTTTTTTAATAGATAGAGTGATTCAAGAGGAACATTTATATGTATAATACATGTACACCCGTGCGAAGCCGGGGTGGGTAGCTAGTATTTTATAAGTCTAGTGGTCTAGCGGTTTTGCACGCGGCTTTACGTATAATAGTCGCAGATTCGATCCCCCATTGCTAGCAATGTACCATGTCAAACTGACCTACAAATTGTTAGTGATGTGGACTGATGATCTTACTGCTAGCAATGTACCATGTCACGTTGACCTCCACGCGGTTCCCCCTGGAAACCATCGTGATAAATTCTTGGTGAATTTGTCACGATGGGCTAACTGACCTGACCTCACGCTCATCTTATCATCCTCTACTGATACGTCGCCAGCGTAAACCGTTAGCGCAGGCGGATGCACCAATTCATTATCATCCATAAAAAAGCTGACCTGCACATGGTTCCCCCTGGAAACCATCGTGATAAATACCTGGTGAATTTATCACGATGTGCTAACTGACCTGACCTCATGTTCATCTTATCATCCTCCACTGGTGCCCGACCAGCGTAAACCGTTAGCGTATGCAAATGAACTTTTCGATTATCATCAATAAAAAAAAGTCGCTAGGGATTCGAATTCACACAGGAGTTGCTCAGTCATAATTCCTTTCGCAGGTTTGGACTGTCCTCTGCTCTTACCCTACGCTTGCCTTACGCTTTTTCTTCCAGGAAACTGTAAAGTCCAAGATTACAATAATTCGAAAAACCGTTGGAGCAGTCGAGTGCACCGTTCTCGACAAAAATCTAAAAACATCCTTTTTAAGCAACCATACAATAATACAGAGTGACTCACAACACAACTAGGTACATCCTGTATATGGATAATTTGTTATTATTATATTCGATATCAATATACGGCGCGATAGTGTCTCACTAGCTGCCAATTGCTGTTCGCCGACGGTCACTGTGCCATCGAATTATGAAGTTACAAATTATTGTCACCATTTTAACTGTCATCTGGAGCAGGTAAGTCAAAGTTTTTTTTATTGATGATAATGGAATCGTGCACCCGTCTGCGTTAACGGTTTACGCTGGCGGGGCACTAGTGGAGGATGATAAGAAGAACATGAGGTCAGATCAGTTAGTCCATCGTGACAAATTCACCAGGTATTTATCACGATGGTTTCCAGGGGGAACCGCGTGGAGGTCAACCTGACATGGTACATTGCTAGTAATGGGGTCATGAGTCCACAGTACTAACAATCCACTAGTCAAATTCAAATTCAAAATATCTTTATTCATGTAGGTCTATTACAAACTCTTATGATATGTCAAATCTACCGTCAGTTCGGAATGATATCGAGATGAGAAGAACTGACAAGAAACTCAACTCGTATTCTTTTCAAATAAATGTTGTACATGTTTACAATAATACAACATTTATAAATTCAAATTTGGGAGAATAGAGTGACCACCAGCAATTGTTATTGCAAAAGCAAATAGTCTAATCAGTGTTCGTAACCTGAACAAACCAGTCCCCACAAGAAGGACCCGTTCACGAGTATGACGGATGAGCCAGCCATCATTGCACTCAACCATATTAGATAGCACATTGAGCGGGTCCACCACGCCACCACAAGTTCGAACTTATAGCGAGCATGACTGTTGCAAGTTTACCTATTACAATATTTAATTTACATTATTTTAATTACAACATATCATTACTAAATGTATAATAAGATTTTCTAGAGTTTCTCTAATATTTGGTACATTGATAATTATGTCAATGGCAACATTATATGCCTCATAACAAAAGTAAAATTTTTTACTCTAAACTGGAATTTCAAAATAGCGAACAGCGTCCCTTTTTTTATACTATAACTAGCTACTTGCCCCGGCTTCGCTCGGGTGTAGATGTATTATACATATAAACCTTCCTTTTAAATCACTCTATCTATTAAAAAAATCGCATCAAAATCCATTGCGTAGTTTTAAAGATTCATACATAGAGACGGACAGACAGCGACAGCGACTTTGTTTTGTACTATGTAATGATGATGAAACACTGTATAATAATCCTCCATACTACAATAACTCCTACAATTATTTCACCGGTATACTCTATGTAGCGACACCTCATCATACCCCCTCCGATCGATTCCCCAATCCAATGCAAACGGGGATCGAAATTACGATGGCCGAAATACGAGCTGAGATTCGAACCCCTAGTGGTGCTCTCAGACTAAAGTCGTACCCATCAGGTGGGAGATGGCCTTCAGCCGCTCCATAAGTAAGGTTTGAAGTGCCATTTGCACTCGCCCCCTAACGTCCGGTGAAGCTGTAAAGGCCAGCTGCGGCCAACAGCATTAGAGTAGTCCGAAAAAAAACCGCTTCACTTCCGATGGTCGGGGGTTCGATTGCTCGCACGGTGCAATAATTTTGTATTCATAAGTATGATTGTTTGTATCGGTCTGGGTGTTTTCTATGTATAATATGTATATACCTATGTAACTTAACTTATATTTATGTATTTACAAAAAAAAGGTGAGCCTTAACTCGTTTTTCCTCAATGCTATAAAAAAAAGAATTTCAACAGACTCTCAATAAGTTATTTGCATTTAGTAGTAGTAAAAAGACTACATCCTGGTATGTTCCATAAATCAAAATTGAAAATTGAGAATTAGACTAATTCCCGATTATAATATAATTTTACGTAGATCAAAAAGAATTCATCGATGAAATAGAAAAATGTCATTTTTCAAAATTAGAAGTTAGAATTACCTCCTTTTATATAAGTCAATTAAATTGACCACGCTGTTTTAATCATTATCTGAATACTTTTAAAATTATATATAATACTTCTGTGTAAATTTATAACTTTAAAAATAAAAATAATTGAAAAATTAATTAAATTAAAAACATTAAATGCTTGTAAAAATATTATATTTTGAATACTGCCATTTTTCTATTTATCCGACAAATTATTAAACAGTATTATATAATAACACATTTTCTTTTTGTAAATACATACATAATATACATAGAAAACTGCCAAACCGATACAAATAATCATATTCATGAATACAAATGTTTGCAACGTGTGAGAAGTCGAACCAGCAACAATACAATTAAAATTTTCAGATATTAAAGTTAGTAAAGATACGTACTGTGTACTAATACAATACATAACGTAATAAAAAACTTGATAACGAAGTACAATCGAAATTTCTATTCGAGTAAAAACTGATTAAAATGTATCATAAAAATTTATTGGTGAAGTATGTATTGCACAAGTTTACTCCAGAACAGATAGAATCGTATTCATGAATACAAAAGTTTGTAAAAGTGTGAGAAATCAAACCAACGATAATGCAATTAAATTCTTCAGATATTAAGGATAGTAAAGATATGTACAGGAAACAAATACAATACATCACGTAATAAAAAAATTCATAACGAAGTACAATCTAAATTTCTATTTGAGGAAAAGCTGATTAAAATGTATCATGAAAATTTATTAGTGAAGTATGTATTGCACAAATTTATGCCAGAACAGATACAATCGTATTCATGAATACAAAAGTTTGTAAAAGTGTGAGAAATCAAACCAACGATAATACAATTAAATTCTTCAGATAGTAAAAATATGTACTGAATACTAATACAATACATAACGTAATAAAAAATTTGATAACGAAGTACAATCTAAATTTCTATTCGAGTAAAAACTGATTAAAATGTAACATCAAAATTTATTAGTAAAGTAATTGCACAAAATTATGCCAGAGCAGATACAATCGTATTCATGAATACAAAAGTTTGTAAAGTGTGAGAAATCAAACCAACGATAATACAATTAAATTCTTCAGATAGTAAAAATATGTACTGAATACTAATACAATACATAACGTAATAAAAAAATTGATAACGAAGTACAATCTAAATTTCTATTCGAGTAAAAACTGATTAAAATGTAACATCAAAATTTATTAGTGAAGTATGTATTGCACAAACTTATGCCAGAACAGATACAATCGTATTCATGAATACAAAAGTTTGTAAAGTGTGAGAAATCGAACCAACGACCATCGGAAATAAAGCGGTGTGCTAAACGGCTAGATCACCGAGACTATCTTAAAAATATTGTAACAAATATGAATGTGAATTAGCGTACAGTATACTAATTACGGTACATATAAATCCGGTATAGATATGGAATGCAGTTATTTTTAATATGCTTATCATTCGGACAGTCGGAATTGAATTGATTTTTGGTTTAAATAATATAATTGATACACATAATATATATTGTTATGTAATATATATATTTGGACGCTCTCGGTGGTCTAGCAGTTTAAGATACTGCTTTACTTCCGATGGTCACGGGTACGATTCCTCGCACAGTGTAAATATATGTTATTGAAAAGTATGATTCTTTGTGTCGGATGTTTTCTATATATATTATGTGTTTACATATCTAAGTATTTATATCAGTTGTGTAGTACCCTTAACACAAGCTCTGCTTACCATGGGACTAAGTGGCACTGTGTTAAATGTCCAGGTTAAAAAAAAACTAGGTACCCTACCGGTTTCGCACGGATGCCTTACAAATCTTTGAATCTCTATACTATAACACTCATGTATACACATAAACCTTCCTTTTGAATTGCTCTATCTATTGCAGTAAACTACATTAAAATCTGTCGAGTAGTTAAAAGATCTAAGTAAACGGACAGCCGAAGCGATTTCATTTTATAGTATGTAAATATAGGGGGAAAAGGGGATTGTTAGTAATGTGGACTGACGATCTTGCTAGCAAATTTCCAAATCAGGTTGACCTCCACGCGGTTGGAAACTATTCTCCTCTTGGAAACTATCGTGACGAATTCTTGGTGATTTTTTAATGTAACATACATATATTGTTTAATGTTTAGGCCGAAAAAGAGATGGATGGACTGTGTGAAAGATGATATGGTAAGAAAGGAAGTAAATAACGCGATGACTGCGAACAGGGATGAATGGAAGAGAAAAACATATTACGACCACAAATAAATGGGATAAGGAAGAAGCAGATGATGACATATATTGTTTAATGTAATAACGATGGACTAAGAAGAGTGACCTCATGCTCATCTTATCATGCTCCACTGGTGCCCCGCCAGCGTAAACCGTTAGCGCCGGCGGGTGTACCATTCCATTATCATCCATAAAAAAAAATGTTAATATATATGACAGACTCGTTGCTCTAGCGATTTAGTACACGCTTCACTTCCGATGGTCGCGGGTTCGATTCCTCGCACAGTGCAAACATTTGTATTCATGAATACGATTGTATCTGCTCTGGCATAAGTTTGTGCAATACGTACTTCACCAATAAATTTTGATGATTCATTTTAATCAGCTTTTACTCAAATAGAAATTTTAGTTTGTAATGAATTCTTATACGTTATCTAATTTTTTATTACATTATGTATTGAATTATATGGAATTAGTATACAGTACATATCTTTGCTATCTTTAATATGTGAATAATTTAATTGTTTGTATGTATGTTGCTAGTCAGTAAAACTGTTATATAAATTAATGAGCTATTTAAAAGATCTTTACATAGTTTTGTTTTGTTTTACAAAATCATCGCAACGGATTTTATAACAATTTTCAGCAATAGAGTTTTTCAAATTTCATAATTATATTTGTTTTTCAAGGAAAATTCAGAAATAAAAAAGTATAATTATGAAATTTGATTCACGTAGAAAATATTTATGAGGTAGCATTTGCATAAATAAAATACTGTCTAATTAAAAACCTTCTTTATTTGAAGTCGGTTAATAGGAATGAATCGACTGTCACTCCTTTCAAATTAAACGCCAAGTAAAACTGCGGCTTACAGTTGTATAGTAATTAACAGTATGCTTATCATATGATTCATTTAGTAGGAATATACCTTTGTTCTTATTTTTTTTTTATTAAGTATTTTACGGCCCTGGAAATCTCTTTTCAGCCAAACAATTACATTCTACAAATACAAATCAACTATTAATTACATCTATAGCGTTCTTATAGTACTAGAAGATACATTACAACGATTAATAGAATTCGTATGGGACATGGGCAGTTTCCGGCTCATTTGCATAGAATAAAATTGAGATCTTCAAATTGTGACCACTGTACAGCAGAAAATTACTCAGCAGAGACTTATTTTGATAATTGGCTTAATAAGTTTATATAATAAAAAAGAAGTACCCCGCCTCTTACCATATCCTTTGTTCTTATTATCAGATGTGTACATTCATTAAATTTATGTATTTACATATTTAATGTTGTGAAGGATGGAGATCAAGACGACGAGCGAAGAAAACGGTACTGGTGTAGTCGTAAAATAGTGTATTGACCTATGTCACAAAACAATATAGTGTTTATAAAAAACAAGCTACTCGCCCCGGCTTCGTACGGTTGTAGATGTATTATATATATAAACCTTCCTCTTGAATCACTCTTGAATGAAGCAAACAATCACAATAACAATGTTGAATTTAAAGAAACCGCTTCAACATCCGTTGCGTAGTTTAAAGATTTAAGCATACATAGGGACAGACAGCGACAGCGATTTTGTTTTATAAAACAGTTTCAAACAAATGTACACAAAAGAACTATATGGAAAGACATGTTTAGAGTCCAAATCTGTCTATAAATTTATTTATCTCTGATTAAATAAAATACATTGTAAAGAATATTTTTGACTCTCTTTTTATCGAATTTAAATGGTATAGAGCAGAATCTGTTTTTGTCTGTCTTTTTCTCTACTTATTTCTTTTGAACCATGCAACAGATTTTGATGCAGTTTCGTTATTGAAATTGCAGAATAAGAGATCATAACATCTTTAATAGCAACTTGTATTTTTTATGGATGATAATGGACTGATGAACCCACCTGCACTAACGGTTTGCGCTGGCTGGGCACCAGTAGAGGTTGATAAAATGAGTATGAGGTCATATCACCAGTAGAGGATGATAAAATGAGTTCAGGTCAGTTACTACATAGTCGCAAATTCACCAGGACTTTACCGTTTTGAAGGAGAACTGCGTATAAGTTATCCTGACATGATACACTGCAAGCTATGGTGTCATAAGATCACATTACTAACAATCCCGTGAATACTAGCTTTCCACTCGCGGCTTTGCTGTGTGGACTATAGGTTATCGCTCGATTAAAGATACGTGCTCAGTAGTGGGATGTTTTTTTTTATGGATGATAATGGTATGGTGCACCCGCCTGCGCTAACGGTTTACGCTGGCGCGGCACCAGTGGAGGATGATAAGATAAACATGAGGTCAGGTTAGTTAGCCCATCGTGACATATTTAGCAGAAATTTATCACGATGGTTTCCAGGGGGAACCGCGTGGAGGTCAACCTGACATGGTACATTGCTAGTAACGGGGTCATGAGTCCACATTACTAACAATCCCTTTCCCCCTAGTAGTGGGATGTTATATAGCTTAAACCTTCCTCTTGAGTCACTCTATCTATTAAAAGAAACGTAAAATCCGCGTAGTTTTTTAAGATCAAAACATACATAGGTAAAGATAGACAACAGGAAGCGAAATTATTGAATATAAACTATAAACGTCCGAAATTTCATACTCCTCTCAAGTAAAAAGTTTTTGATTCACGTATGATGATTAATTTATGTACTTTATATATTCTTATCAATTGATTATCATCAACAGATGTACAAATGACTAATAAAGCCATAAACATGATACGACAATATGATAGCGCTTTGATAGATGCTTTTTATCAACTCTCAGTTTTCTTTTCTATTTACAGAACGAACGCTTCAATAACGAACACGAAGTTATGCTTCGGCGAGAATTTTAGGTTTGGTGTTGCAACTGCATCGTACCAGATTGAAGGGGGATGGAATGTATCAGGTACATATCTTATCTCTTTTGATTGATTGGTCTATGCTACAGTGATTTGTTTGAACAACGGGCCAAACGAGACGCTAAATGCGGAAATAGAGTTCAAGATACGCAATATACAATACACGATGATCTGTAGTATGAAATGCAATATCCGAGCTACTAGCAGCTCGAATATTGCATTTTTGATGAAATATTGGAACTGGTCTGTTCGGGTTACGGTTACCGATTAAATTATTTCCTTGTAACAGAAATGCTATAGCGTATGCTGAGGGTCCCTACATTATCTCTAATTAAAATTAAAATTTAATCTATATTTTTGGAATTGTACAAGCTCGTTCGAGAAGAATAAGAGCTGAGTTTCTTTTTGACTCAAAAGCACTGTGAACTGATGGTAGAATTACCATATCATAAGAGTCTGTGATAGATCTGCAAGAATAAAATGCTTTGATTTAATTTAATTTGATTTGACTAAATATATGATTTCGGAACAAAAATAAAAAAAAATCAATATATTCATGATACTAATAGATTGAAATTCCCGATTTCAAGTGTTCTTTCTATCAATTCTAATATGGTCCATATTAATTATTCGTTTAATTTTTTTCTTTCGAGTACATTTCTACATAAGTACCATTACGACTGCTACCCTGAATGGGTTAGTCAGATGTATTATCAATTGTCAAGGTCACAGTGAACGCAACACTTAACATGCCCATATTTCGCTGTATATTTCAATACGACGTAGCAGAAGAGAGCCAGTTTTACATACTCTTTTGTTTTGTATCCAATAAACGTTTTCTGTTCTACTCTCTTCTCTGCTGTAGGAAAAGGCGAAAGCATCTGGGATCGCTACACTCATGAGCACCCAGAAAGGGTGTTTGATCACAATAACGGGGATGTGGCAGATGACTCCTACCAGCGGTACAAAGAAGACGTGAAGTTACTGAAGGAGTTGGGGGTGAACTTCTACCGCTTCTCCATATCCTGGCCAAGGATTCTGCCCACTGGATTTATCAAGTACATTTTTATATACGTTTAGTTGTAGTCGTTTTACTAGGTTTAATATATGGACTAACCGTGTACAAATCTGAACCATGTTCACTAACTCTATATGGTGTGTTAGGTATCAGATTTCCTATAATTGACCCACGTCTCGTAACTGCTTATTTGCTAAGTGATAAGAACATGCCGTCGCGGTTGTTATACAAGATGGGGAGTCAGAGTTTTATTTTCTGTTACAATCTCAACGTCGTGGCGAAACCAACACCTAAAACCCCAAAATTTGTTGGTATTTCAATATCACGTACAACGGGACAAGCCTACAGCCCTTTTTTGGTTTTAAATTCGGTATTTCCTTCACCGATTCATCACACAAAGAATTTTGTTCTGGTGACTTTCACGTTGGAACTCTCAACCTTTTTGGTGTAAGTCAAGGATGGAAAGAAGTTTCCATCCTTGACTTTAAAAAGGAAAAAGGAAGTTTTAGTTAGATAAAAGAAGTTTTTTAAACTTTAGAAAGGAAAAGGTTTTAAAGGTAGCATGATTTAAATTTGGTGTATTCGATACGTAACTTTTTTTTTTTACTTGGAGAAAATCCCTCATGGAGACTCGCCGCCGGGGGAAGGCCGCGAGTACTGTGAGACTCCTACTCACTAAAAACTCCATGGTATCCTGACGAAGCGCCTATAGCCGGAGTCGCGGGATATTCGATACGTAACCTAAGGATCAAGAATACCAGTCACTGCATCCAAATATAAATTATATTGTTACGGTATCCCGTTTAATAATTTGCTCAATATAGGTTCCAAAATAAAAATTACAAAAATCATAGGACATCTTAGCCGTTTATGAATGTCAAATGTTTATAGTTTTAATATTTCCCTACCGTGCAGTTTAGTATATAGATCCAATTGAGAAGAACTGGCAAGAAATTCAATTGAATTACTTTTTTTTATAATCTATATTTATATAGGTGTCTATGTCTAACATTAAATGAAAATCCCGTGCATGAAAAACTATTGCCATGCACGCTCGTCACTTAAGTAAAGGCCATCTTCATACGCAACTAAGTAATATTCTAAACTTGGTATTTGCTCAGTGAGTCTATTCTTAGTTTTTATTTAATTTATAGTGACGTCAACAAAGATGGAATAAGATATTACAACGACCTGATCGATGAGTTACGCCGCAATGATATAGAACCATTAGTGACCATGTACCACTGGGACTTACCACAAATACTGCAAGAGCTCGGCGGCTGGACGAACCCCGTTATGGCTGATTATTTTGCGGACTATGCAAAGGTAATTTTTTATGTAACTGAAATTTCACCACAGTCAGTACATCTACAACTGTCACTTATATGCATGAATAGCACTGAAAATGTTATCATGTGACACTTGACAGTCTTTTAACCGGAGAAAAAAATAATAAAAAAAAGCTAAATAAAATTGTCCCCAGTATGGCACCACTACTTCTTAAGTTAGGTTGTTATTTTTATTTTATTACTGGTACTTTTTTTTTAATTTTAAGACTACCCTATGAGTCTCCTTTAATGAGATGTCTTTGTATAGGTAACTGTAATTTTTTAAATGTTATAGAATAATAATAATCTCAGGACAATTCACATAGTGCCATCTAGACCCAATTTAAGCTAGCTAAAGCTTGTGTTATGGGTACTAGACAACTGATACATATATACATAGAATTTTTTTTTTGTAAATACATTAATATTATGCATAGAAAACACCCAGACCGATACAAACAATCATACTCATGAATAAAATTGTTTGTGCCTCGCGAGGAATCGAACCCGCGACCATCGGTCTTAAAGCGGTGTACTAGACCGCTAGACAACCGAGATCGTCAAGAGAAATAACATTACTTTATATAATTTATTACCTGTTAATTGAGGTTTCATCTTCTTTTTTATATATAAGTTAGATTATTCGTCTCTCAAATTTCATTGACTTTCATAATTATAGGAAAATTAATCTAATTTGTTATTTTTTCAAAATTATAATGTTAGTAAAGATACAACCCTCCACCAACCCATGGCCATTCCAACCTCTCGGTTATACTAGCCGAATCTGGGCGCTGAAAAGCTTCTCTTGACCCCTACAAATTATTTCTACTCTGTCCCCTCGCACTCTCCCCTTCTGGGGCAGCGGAGAAACATGGACGGCTTCGGTGCCGGCAGCTCTCCGTCTTCAGCGGTGTCCTTCCTTCTTGAACGCGTACCACCAGCAGTCCTCTCGTTATGATGCGCGAACTGATTATTCTCCTCAGTAGACACCAAGTCCGGGTAGTACACTGGACCCTCTCCTTCGTCTTCACCACGACGTATCCCCTCCAGCAGCTTTTCGGAATATGTCCCACACAACGTGGTGGAGGTCCTCTTCCGATTCCCCGCAATTTCACCACAGTCGCTTAGTAAAGATACAGTGGATTATTTATTTATTTTCTGTCATTCAGGTGCTGTTCAATGAGTTTGGCGACAGAGTCCAATTCTGGTTGACATTCAACGAGCCGCTTTCCTTCTGTCAAGACGGTTACGGTGGAAATGACGCTCCAGGAGGTCAGGCCAGCGGCTTCGAAGATTACATGTGTGGTCACAACGTCCTCAGAGCTCATGGGAAGGTTTACACTCTGTACAATAAGGAGTACAGAGATCAACAGCAGGGTGAGTGATCATAATAACAGTATATTACCTTCACGACTTGTATCTGAAGCGGGGTAGCCAGATGCATCGTTAAATGTAGACAGCAGGGTGAATATATTACAATTTAACAAGCCCTCTATGAACTGTATGCATATTTGAATCCAATTTGGCACTACAGCGATTTTGAGTGCGAACTTTTTTTTTGCGAAAAATCTGTATACTTCAGTGGGTATCCCACAGTATCCGTCCGCATTCTTTCATTTTTTTTTTCGGATTACTCCAATACTGTTGGGCGCAGTAGGCCTTTACAGCTTCACCGGAAGATAGGGGGACGAGTGCAGATGACACTACATACCCGCGGAAGGACTTATGGAGCAGCTGCAGGCAAACTCCCGCCTGACGGATACGACTTTAGTCTGAGGGCACCGCTGAGCGTTTGACTCAGGCCGTCGTAATTTCGATCCCCGTTTGAATTGGATGGGGGATCGATCAGTGGGGCGGATGGGGTATCGATTGGAAGGGCATCCCTTCATAAAAACTGCTTTTTTATGGCATAGGGGATAAGCGAGCTTAAGGCTAATACGATGGTAAGTGATTACCGTCGCCCAACACCAGGGGAGTGGGGGGAAAGGGATTGTTAGTAATGTGGATTGATAACCCCATTGCTAGCAATGTAACATATCAGGTCGACCTCCACGCGGTTCCCCCTGGAAACCATCGTGTTAAATTCCTGGTGAATTTGTCACGTTGGGCTAACTGACCTGACCTCATGCTCATCTTATCATCCTCCACTGGTGCCCCGCCAGCGTAAACCGTTAGCGCAGGCGGGTGTACCATTCCATTATCATCCACAAAAAAAAAAAACACCAGGGAAGTTGCAAGTGCATTACCATATTATATACTAAAACTAGCTGTCCCCGCGACTTCGTCCGCGTGGAATTTAACTTTATTTTTCTAAAATAAAAGTAGCCTAAGTTACTCCTTATTACATCAGCTACCTACCAAAAACAGTCCCGTCAAAATCGGTCCAGCCATTTCAGAGATTAGCCGGAACAAACAGATAGACAGACAGACAAAAATTGTAAAAAATATTATTTTGTTGTATGTACCGTATTTATATTAATATGCATGTAGTAAAAAACGGTTATTTCAATATTACAAACAGACACTCCAATTTTATTTATGTGTATAGATAATTGGTATTATAAATACCCATTATTTTAGAGTAGAGATTACTAGTAAATAAATAATTAATTAATTATGAAATTATCGTAGCGTGGATATAGGCTATGATCCTCGTTCCGGATTTTATCTCGCTCGAAGGATCTCTCTGACAAATCAGCACGGAATCGCTGCAAGCCCAACGGGACAGGAACGGTTCGGCTTTTGGGCCGGGTACGATACGGGACTGCTTATCATGACAGTTATAATTATTTATTGTATGATTCAATTGATTATTTTGTAATTGTAAATAATACAAATACAAAATAATAAATTGATTTTGATTGATTTCTTGATTGATAACAACCTGTTATAGATTTCTATTAGAGTTAAAATTACAATTAATACAAAACTACACAAGTTTTGTATTAATTTTAATTTAAACTTGTGGCGAATTAATTATACTCGCGCGCCAACACCGTTGCCTAGTTACGACAGAGCAAAAAAATAACAGGCCTGTCATTTCGAGACCGAATCACTTTCTTGTACATACCTATATATTCATTGTAAATATTTCGTAATTATAAATATGTACATAACAACAATCTGGACTCCTCATTTCACCTCCTTCTTTCCCGCTGCTGCTATAAGAACACAACATAAACATAAATAATAGCGGTAACAATATAGACGCTAAAAACTCTTCAGTTATCTCTAGAAATCAATTTATTAAGTAATTTGTCTTAAATCTATTTTTAGTACACACAATCCAATACTCTATGGGTACGGCGTCCCCATAGACTATATTTATATTCTTTAATGTTGTTTTTCACTAATACTTACATATATATTTATAAACACGCATATTAATTAATTTAGAACATAACATATTAATAAACATAGAGTAAGTGAAGAGAGTCGGCCACAGAGATATATTATTGATTACTATACTTTGGCATAGACTAACGATGGAGTACCTTCGGTATCTATGACAGAAATGTTAAGTTAAATTGTATAATATTTATTAAATAATTATGAAATACTAGGTTCTGTTGGGATCACGCTGGACATAGCGTGGATGGAACCTATAACTACGTCTCAGGAGGATCAAGACGCCGCAGAAACAGCAAGGCAGTTTACCGTAAGTAATTTTCATGGTAGAAACCATATCTACATATAATTAATTCAAAGGTGACTGACACAGTGATCTATCAACGCAGAGCCCAAACCACTGGACGGATCGGGCTGAAATTTGGCATGCAGGTAGATGTTATGACGTAGGCATCCGCTAAAAAGGATTTTGATTAATTCTACTCCCAAAGGGATAAAATAGGGGATGAAACTTTGTATGAAACTTTGTCAATTTTAAACCGATCGGGCTGAGACTTTGCATGCATAAATCTACTACGACGTAGGCATGCCCTAAGAAAGAATTCCACCACTAAGGGGATAAATTAACGTGAGCGAAGCCGCTGGCAAAAGCTAGTATATATATATATATGATACAAGCCCAATAGTATAGCTAATAATAAGTTTCATAATAATATTATAAATACAAATTCAAAAATAATTTATTCATTTTAACCGCTTATAAACATCAAACTTTTTATATTATAATTTTTTCCCTACCATCCAGTTCAGTATATAGATCCAATTGAGAAGAATTAGCAAGAAACTAATTGAATTACTTTTTTATTTTTTTAATAAAAATACAAGATAATGACGTGCTTTACATCCCCTGCGAATTGTGGGTATCAGTTTGCAATACACGCCAGACCCGTCGATACATAACAGTAATGTTACACAATTTATTAAATTTATTTACATTGTCATACTATACATACATAACTTAATTACATAACAAAAAACCTAAATTAAAAACCTTAAAAAATATAATATAATAACTAAAATATATTGTCCCTTTAGGCAAGGTTTCAAAGATACTGGCTAGACTAATTCTTTGTCCGAGGTATATGCCAGCTCTTCGGTCTTCTGTGATGTCGACTAACCTTTTTGCTATTTCCTTAAAAAGTCTTATAGCGCTAGGACCCCACGGACCAAGGGTCTCGACACCAAATGGGACAAAATCATATTTGGAGCCTAGAAAATATTTATTGTAATGGTAATACCATTAGAACACAACAGCAGGATGGGTAACAGGTTCAAACTCCGCGCGTTCACACTGCACCATTATGACTACTGAACAAACGGCTCCGCATACGATACAGGGCTCAAGAGACTCGGAAATTATTCAGCGGCGATATCCCCTCCAGAATAGCAGGCGTTAGTCCATTATAGTCTGGTTTAAATAGCTTATTTCCTTAAATTATCGCTAATGAATGAGTCAAAATTTAATCATTCATTACCTCTGCTCCATTAAATCTATCTCGATTTAATGGAGCAGAGGGCAGTAATATAAGATCCAGTTGTATAACAAAAGAACTGTATCTTGAATGAACATAGAGGTTCATATATATACTTACGTTACGTTTACGTTGTACCATTTCTTACTCCTTTAAAATCTAATTTATATCACTCGGAATATCTCCCAATACTTATCACTTTATTTTCAGTACGGCTGGTTCGCTCACCCCATACTCACAGACGAGGGTGACTATCCTCCGATCATGCGAAAACGAATAGATGAGAACTCCAAACGTCAGAATTTCGCTCGATCTCGTCTCCCACAATTCACTAGTGAAGAAATACAAGAAATCAAAGGCTCTTTCGATTTCCTTGGATTGAATCATTATACCACGTTTATGGTCAGCCCAGGCGACAATAAAACCAGTACGGTACCATCGTTTCAGAACGATATGGGTGTAAAAACGAGTCAGAAAGCTGAATGGCCTAAATCAAATTCGACTTGGCTGAAGGTAAATACCTACATACTTATATACTAATTTTATTAATAGAAAAACTTGAATATTTTTATATTTATCTTTTAAAATTGGTGAACTTAAAAAATACTTGATGAATTATATCTTATATATAAAACTAGCTGTCCCGGTAAACGTTGTTTTGCCTTAAAAAAAAAAATAATGTAAGGGTGGACTACCCCTAACATTTAGGGGGATGAAAAATATATGTTGGCCGATTCTCAGACCTACTCAATACGCTCACAAAATTTCACGAGAATCGGTCAAGTCGTTTCGGAGGAGTATGGGAACGAAAACTGTGCCACGACTGTGACATGATTTTATATATAAGATTCTCTTGTCACAGTGTTAGGGGTAGTCCACCCTAAATTTTTTTTTTATTTTAATGCAAAACCACGTTTGCCTGAACAGCTAGTCTTTATATATAAAAATTACGTGTTTCAGTGTGTGTTTCTGTGTACAGAGGGAACCGCTTAATGCGTTATATATTATGTACAATGTACGTTTATATACATTTTTTTTATGTGTGATTATGGAATGGTGCACCCGTCTGCGCTAACGGTTTATGCTGGCGGGGCACCAGTGGAAGATGATAAGATGAGTATGAGGTCAGATCAGTTAGCCCATCGTGACAAATTCACGAAGAATTTATCACGATGGTTTCGAGGTCAACCTGACATGGTATTGCTAGCAATGAGATCATCATTCCACATTACTAACAATCCCTTTTCCCCAGCGTTTATATATACCGCGTTATATACCTTTGCTAACAATGTACCATATGAGGTTAACCTACAACCTGACATGGTACATTGTTAGCTTCGGGGTAATGTACCATACATTGTTAGCTTCGGGGTAATGTACCATACTTTGTTAGCTTCGGGGTAATGTACCATACATTGTTAGCTTCGGGGTAATGTACCATACTTTGTTAGCTTCGGGGTAATGTACCATACATTGTTAGCTTCGGGGTCAAGAATCCACATTAATAACAATCCCCATTCCCAGGTGATGTTGTTTAAATTTTCCAAAATTATTTACTTAGGTATTTATATAATTCCCAGGTTGTTCCATGGGGTTTTAGGAAAGCGTTGAATTGGGTGAAAAATACTTACAACAACCCAAACATATTGGTCACAGAGAATGGGATCTCCCTTCATCCCGGGCTGCATGACCCAAAGCGGGTGAACTACATCGACGGGTACTTGAGGGCCCTTCATGATGCTATTTACAAGGACAAGTGCAGGGTTATAGGGTATACCTACTGGAGTCTGTTGGATAACTTTGAATGGATGCGAGGATACTCGTAAGTATTTTTGTATATACACAGAACAGAACAGAAGAGAAGAGAATAACAGCACGTAACTCTTGCAATGGACAAATTTTTTTTTTCGGACTGCTCTTATGCTATTGGTCACAGCTGGCCTTTACAGCTTCACCTTCATAGGGGGCGAGTGCAGCTGGCGCTTTAAACCCGCGGAAGGACTTATGGAGCGGCTGAAGGCCAACTCCCGCCTGACGGATACGATTTTAGTCTGAGGGCACCGCTAGGGGTTCGAACCTCGACTCAGGCCGTCGTAATTTTGAATTGGAAGGAGGATCGATTGGAGGGGGGGGGGGGGGGCAATCAACACTAGGCTTCCAAGCTATGAACTCTACCTAATGTTCGATAAAGACTCAAATAACGGTCGGAATTTGACTATAACAGAAGGTTCTAACGATATATATGAACACACAGATGGACACAACATGTTTAATGAAATAGCACACGCAACATATTGTGTTTTGTGAATTTCATGCCACCTTTGTTTATGATGATTATGATGTTCTAGGTGGCCAGTCAGCGTATTCTAATAATGTAAACATAACATACCTCTTTACTAACATTATAAAGGCGAAGGTAACTCTGTCTGTTTCACGCTAAAACTACTAAACCGATTCAAATTTAATTTGGTACATACACACATTTGGTACAGATCCTGAGGTAGGCTACTGGCTACTTTTTAATGCGGTAAAGGGGTTGAAAGGGGAGATGATAGGTTGTATGGAAGTATCGTCATTTTTTATTGGTATCACTAGGGTTTTGTACCCTATGTTTCAGGGAAAGATTTGGACTATACGAAGTGGATTATGAATCCCCAAGCCGCACCCGTACGCCGCGCCTCTCAGCTTCATACTTCAGGGCTATAGCTACCACCGGGTGCCTGCCTAACGATTACATCAACTATGTTGAATATACTCTTACAGATTAAATATATAAATATATATATGTATACTAATACATTTAAATTATAGAGTTTGTTTTTGTTTGTAATACTTTATTGTACAATAGAAATTATACGACTTAAAGAATAAATGCGTACAGTGGCGGACTTAACCCAAAAGAGAGTCAAGCTTAGAGTGACTGAGAGGAACTGTGGAATGATTGAACTAACGATGAGCAAATGGCAGTATCACGACAACGCCATCTGTTATTTAAATAAAGAATTAGTACAATTGTAGGGGTGTATTAATAATTTATCCGCCTTAATGAGGGATGGGGGGGGGGGGGGGCAGTCTACATGTGAACAAAATATTCTGTTAAAATTGTATTTTATTCATTTAGTCCATTTTACATGGAACATTAACATAAAGTCACGAACATAAAGTTTACGCCTACTCACGATGTTACTATTACATTATATTTAAAAATTTCCAAAGATAGATCTCGTGACGGTGGTAGGCTGCTTTGGCAATATAATCGGCACTGACGACCCTCGTAACGTTCTGTTTATTATTTGTAAGGTATAATATGTAGGGACCTCGGGGACCCTCTCTCTGCTGTAGACTCACCTATTTAAGTTCTTTCAGCCGTCATGCAAATTGCTTTATAATGAGTACCCAAATATTCGACAACCATAATTTTCACCTTCACCTATCAGACTAGTAGAAAATGCCGCATAGTGTTCATTCCCCCAAATGTAGGTACTGTAACTTTTGTCACATATTACAAAAAAAATTAAGTTAAATTAATTAATTAAAAAAAAAAGGAAATTTAGTTGAGTCTCTTACTAGTTCTTCTCAATTGAATCTGTATATTGAACTCGATAGTAGCGAAAAATTTTTACGTTCATAAGCGGCTAAAATGTCCTACATGAATAAATGATTTTTGATTTAATTTAAATAATTTCACAAAAGATTTCAAGGTACCAGCTTTAAGAAAAGGCGTTGAATAATAAACTCTTTGTTATGAACAATAATGTATTTTTTACATTGCAATCTTAAATTAATAGTATAACAATTACACTAGAATACTTGTGATAAATTCGGATTATCAACACTTTTAAACACAACTATGTATATATTGTATACATAATTCAAATCAACTGTAATATTAAACATTTTAAATAGAAATCACGAATTATATACTTACAAATTGCATTGCGAAAATAAATATCTGATAGGTGAATGTCTAAAATGATTACTTTTGGTGATTTGTAATAGGATTTAAAAAATTAATTACAACTCGTTGTTATATCAAATCCATATTGTAGAATACAATATAAAACTATGTTATTACATATATATATTGCATAAATTCTAATGCGTTCTTTTATAATCATACAATAATTCTACATTTTAGACTACCAGACTGATGAGTATACTCACATGTATATTACATTCACATATAAACTTATATACTTCACCTATCAATATTTAATAATAAAATAATAATAACCCTATTAAAATTATTAACCGGATCTTAACACGAACAATCTAGTGACGGTAGATGAAAAAACTGCTGGCACCTATCTACATTGACATCGCTGTTACTCCAGTCAGCTCGTGACCACGGCTAGTGCAACCTAGTCGAAACGTCGAGAGAGGTAAATACCTTTATTTACCATAAAATTATTCGTGTTAAGAACCGGTTTACAATATAAATAATGAATAATAACCCTGAACAATTTACTCAGCGCCATCTAGTTCCAAACTAGGCAGATCTTGTGTTATGGTTACTAGACAACTGATATAAATACATAGATTTTTTTTAGTCAGACGTACATATTATACATAGAAAATCTCCAGACCGATACAAATACTCATACTAATGAATACAAATGCTTGTATCGTGCAAAGAATCGAACCCGCGACCCTCGGAAGTAAGCCGGTGCGTTAAACATTTCAATATTCTCTTTGTATAATAAAACAGCGATATAAATATATATTTATATCATAATTAGGTTATTCTGTATGGAAGTTGTAGGGAATTTATACCCTTTTCATCAATTTTTGATGAAAATCTTATATTTAATCAAAATACGCATGACTCGGAAAATTGTATAAAATTATATTTATACATTTTGCAGTTCCAAATATACGTAATTATACATTTGGCATATCATGTTTATATATTGCAATATAATAATAAAGAATATCATGCATAAAAATATAACATAATGTTTACACATACAAAATAACACACTTCAGTATTATTTACACTTGTAACACAGTAAAATGTATAAAAAATATAATTTCCAAACAATATAAGTTTATATAATTCCATTATAAAAATGCAACACGCATTTATATTTATATACATCTAACAACTGCTATATTTATCAACATAGGAATCAATATGCAGAATTAATAAATATTTTTTTTCATTAATACATATATATATTTTAATAAATTAACCACTGTAATATTTACTATGAATTTTAATAATAATAATTAATTAAAATACCAATTGTACATATTGCATAATCGGGATATCTACCGAGAAATAACAATAATAATAATATTTGTCTGTATTCTTTAGGAATAAACTTGAAAAATACTAAACATTAAATAAGCGGGATATTTACCGTGAAATAAAAATTTGATTATTTGTATGTATGTTTAGGAATAAATTCGAAAAATACTTGACCGATATTAACAATATTTATCGATAATATCATCGAGTATAGTAGTGTCCTATACGAGGCATAATTACATAAGCGGGATGTTTACCGTGAAATAAAAATATCATTATTTGTAAGTGGGTTTTTAGGAATAAACACGAAATATTGACTGATATTAAAAATATTTATCGATAATATCACCGTGTGTATTAATTTTATTTCGGGCAAAACCCCGAATAGTATTATATACGGGCAAAAGTACATAAGCGGGATATTTACCGTGAAATAAAAATTTGATCATTTGTATGTAGTTTTTTGGGAATAAACACCAAAAATACTTGACCGATTTTAAAAATATTACCTCTAGATATTTATCGGTAATATCACCGAATGTAGGACTATTATTTCGGGCAAAACCCCGAGATACAGCTAGATAAATCTGTAGCCTAGAAGATATTGCATATCTTACTTTATTTATTATAGTATCCATCATAATCAGCCTTCTGTTCATATAAATACGATCACGATTGCGGCATTTTGCATTGGCTACACTCTTCCATGCCGTCGTTGAATTCCTCTATCTGCAGTGTCATTTCGAAGAAGTTATACTTGTCGTGGACCAGCCTGGTGGCTTGTTCTAGAACCTTCTGCGGACTGACACCGGTACCTGTGAAATTAAATATGGGTATTTGAAACAGCAATAGAATTAATAATTTCTGTACCATAAAATTATTCGTGTTTAACTAAAATAATAGTTTATTAAACGCAAAAGTTAACAATAAGTGAAATAAATAAGATTTCTATTAATTTATAAACTTTATTATTATATTTATTATTTATTATTATGTTTATTATTTATTATTTATTATATTTATTATTTATATTGTTAAGCGGGTCTTAACATGACTGAAATTATGGTAAATATAGGTATTTACCTCTCCACCTGTATCTACCTACAATAAAACTATTCGTGTTAAGACGGTTAACAATATAAATAAATTACATACTTAATAAAATATTAAATGTAAGTACATTTAATATGAAATACATTTTAATTAAATTTAATTATGTTAAAAGTATTCATTAGAATACTTTTAATATAATTAAAATGTATTTCATTACGGACATATCACAGTAATAGTGTGAAGGATTATTTTATACAAATAGAACCAAATTTATACAAGATATTAAAATTATTGTATCATGTATTTGGGTGTGCCAAACGATTAGCAAAAACGGACAGACAGACAACTTTTTCAATTACATTTTTTTTTATGTAAAAATCGTTTATAATTTCTAATGCATTTAGTGCTGTTAATTTGAAATCATAAACGAACACTTGTATCTTATGCACATAAAGATATATTAATTAATATCAAAATATTATTACCTACATTTACACTTATATATTTTAATATATTATGATATAAGTACCTTCATTTGTCTCCAATTAGAGCTACAAATAAAATTATATTTTTAAATAAATAATATTGTTCTATAAATTTAACATTTATATTTAATTTATATTAAGTAATAATACAGATACATTATGGTATTAATTAAATTACATTATTGTAATATTTTGTTGAATTTTAATTTATGCTAACTAGCAAGTTCACGCATGAAAGAAAGAAAGAAAGAAAAACATTTATTGTCAACCATTTTTACATATACATTTGACAATTATACACTTTACACACACATATGCAGACCCACACTCATATACATATATACATACATACATACACACTTAGAACATGACATGAGCATGAGATGAAACGAGACAGAAATATCTGTCGTCTCCCTACTTGTGATGCATTTTTATAATGCTTACTTTATTTTTATAATAGGTTCTATTATTATTAATAATAATATTTATTTACATACCCAATTATTAACATAAAACCTTTCGACACAAAAGTGCGTATTTTTTTTATATATCTACTGTCGGATAGCTATGTACTTCAGTTGAAGAGAACTGGCAAGAAACTCAACTGGTATTTTATTATTACTGGTATTTTCAGATTATTATTAATAACCGTCGCCTGGGGGGAAAGGTGATTGTCAGTAATGTGGACTGATGATCTTATTGCTAGAAATTTACCATTTCAAGTTGACCTCCACGCAGTTCCCCCTGAAAACTATCGTAGAAAATTCTTGGTAAATTTGTCATGAGAGGCCAACTGACCTGACCTCATGCTCATTTTATCATCCTCCACTGGTGATCCGACAGCGAAAACCGTAAGCACAGGCGGTGTGCTATTCCATTATCATACATAAAAAATATGTTGTATTGTTGTGTTGTGTTGTAATGTATTGTATTATTGTGAGTGTTGTATTATATTCTTTATTATGCAGGGTGCACAGGTATTATGCCGTGTATCGTGTCGTGTCGTGTTTTGTTGTATTGTGTCGTATATGTAGGTTATATACGTACGTATGGCGAGATGAGCCGCGAGCGCAGTCTTGTCAAGTGAGAGCGCCCACATGCGCAGGTTGTGTACGCGCACCACGCCCGGCAGAGACAGGAACGTGTTCGCTACCTCCTGCAGACACATACACACACACATTTGTTGAAGTCAAACTTCTATATAGACTTAGAGCTCAACTCATAAAACACCCCGACGACCCCATAACGGCAGGTAACCTCCCCACGGGCCCACCCGTTCCACCCCGACCACACTTTTACACACACACACGACACCGTCCTCGCCGGCGAAGACGACGACCTCAAACACACACTATCGCGCATTCAACCGGGCGCCTGCGCGCGCCCGGGCGCTCCACACCGGCGCCCCCGGGCGCCCATCAGATCGATCCCCCGTCCAATTCAAACGGGGATCGAAATTACGACGGCCTGAGCCGAGGTTCGAACCCCTAGTGGTGCCCTCAGACTAAAGTCGTATCCGTCGGGCAGGAGTTGGCCTTCAGCCGCTCCATAAGTCCTTCCGCGGGTTTGGAGTGCCATCTGCACTCGCCCCATAACGTCCGGTGAAGCTGTAAAGGCCAGCTACGGCCAACAGCATTAGAGTAGTCCGAAAAAAAAAAAAAAAAAAAAAATCATAAAACACCACACCGACATAGCATGTAGAGCCTTGTATTATGCACACACACATTTGTTAAATTGACACTTCTATATAGACACAAGTAATGTCCTCAACTCAAAGACCCTAAAGGGCCGGACACTGACACGGCATGTAGAGCCTTGTCATACATACACACATACACATTTGTGACTCTTCCATATAAACACGGATAGTGCCTTAGTCCTCAACTAAAAGACCTTTGAAATTGTATAAGAAATAGGATTATCCCGGTATTAGTTGGGCCTGGGGGGAAGCTGCAAGTAGTGAAGGTGAGTATTAATGCATATAATGCATTATAATAATAATAATCTCAGGAAAATGATACTCATGAATACAAATGTTTGTGCCGTGCGAGGAACCGAACCCGCGACCATCGGACGTAAAGCGGTGTGCTAGACCGCTAGACCACCGAGGTCGTCAATTATTAACAAAGGTCTTTTAAACCTACACCCGTGTCACAAGTCACGGCTTCAAAGTCTAAGTCGTCATAATTTTTAGTGCTTCTTACACAAAGTCAGCTACTTGGAACACAAATAAATTCTGCCTATCTCAACATAGAAATACCAATGACAATCGAAATTATTCTGTAAAATTTGGTAGCGCCCTCTACTACATTATTATCAAAAATTACCCAACGCAGGAACATTAAATAAACATAAATCAGATATACCTGGAAGTCGACGCCCCTCGGTGACCCCTCCATCAGCACAAGAAGTGTGTCTTTAATGATGTTGAAGGTGGTGATCAGCACCAGGATTGAGAACAGGAACGTACAGATGGGGTCCACTAAGTTCCAATCCGGCTAGAGCAAACAATGTGATAATAATTATGACAATTATGACCAGGACAATTCACACAGCGCCATCTAGTCCCAAGCTAATCAGAGCTTGTATTTTGGATACTAGATAACTGATATAATATACTGAAATACATTTTTTTTGCACACAGATTTTACATAGTTAACACCCAGACTGATACAAACAAACACACTCATGAATACAAATGTTTGTACCGTACGAGTAATTGAACCCACGACTATCGAAAGGAATGCGGTGTGCTATTACACCACTAGACCATCGAAGCGTCGAAATTGATTAAATGCTTGTACAGAATAATCTCTTATGTGTAGTAACTAAACTTCCCAATTAAATCATCACCAAATCAAATCAATCATCCTATCATCAAATCATTATCATCAATAATCAAATCAAATCATCAAATCAAATTTATATAAACCAAAGCTGGGTTAGTTACACCATACGTAAGTCAAGAGCGCCTGCACCGATTTTAATTATTTCTAATTTGTTGGATTCATCTCCGCTCCGAATAGTAAAATAAATATTAAAATATCGAAACGATACACGGAAAGGAACATATTTAAACATTCAAAAAAGTTTGATCAAAAATTCATCTTGATCGTTCCAGATTATTCCAGACTGAACAGAACTGACTGTCATGCGGTACGAATTTAGCCGGTACAGCTAATATGTCTACAAATTAATATCAATCAACATTAGACCCTAATTGTAATACATTAGAATTGAAAATACCTTGTAGTATATGACGATGGCTGCTACGAGCACACCGAAGCTTTGCAGGAAGTCGCCGAGCACGTGTATGAAGGCTGCGCGCACGTTGATGTTCTGCGCGTGATGTTCGTGCTCGTGCTGATGCGACGCCGAACTTTCCAGGTCTGACTCGCTTGAACGGTCCTTCTATAATAACCATTTGGAATGTAAACCATATTACCAGAGGTATATTGTAAAAAGTCGTTTGTCATGCAAACGACTTTTTACAATATACCTCTGTATCACCTATCTCATCAGCCCCATTGAAAGCTATGTTTTGGTTGTTGGGTAATGACATTGTAGTTTCTCTACCTAATCTGTACCCAACAATCCCATCCTTTGATAATAATGACTTAGTCATCTGGAATGGCAATGCGTGGTGTTACCGGTATCACATATTAACGTGAGTTCCGTAGTTCTGATGATGTATATAGGCGGTAGTTATCATCAGGTGGGCCATCAGTTTGTTTTTTATTATTAAAAAGAAATCGCTGTCTACATAATGTTCATTGCCTTTTATAATGTCACTAAAAGAGTTACGAATACACTAAGTGTTATTTATACATACTTATATACATTATTAGACAAGCTCACCAAATCTATGGATTGCTACCATAATATAAGACAAAATACGTTTTTTATGTAACTAGAATGGCTGGTAAGCTGATAACCTGGTGCTAACTGTAAGGCAATAAGTACTAAGGCTGTAAGTAATAATGCAGTGAAATTACATGATACGGATGCTGGCGTAATCCGCAGTAACGCATTAGAGGTACCATGATTATTGCAGTGTTTGTGGGGCCAAGGTGATCGCCTTGAGGAAGGCAGCTTCCACACTTTCGACTAGGAAATCTGTCAGCCTATTTCCCATTCAAATTTCATAAGAAAACAGAACCTCACCTTGTTATTGAGGACTGGATTGGAGCTGGAATGCGAGTGGCCATGTCCGCCTCCATGACTATGTCCGTGTTGATGTAACGTCAGCCCCATGCTGTAAAATAATACATTCCAGAGTTACAAATAGCTTCCATCGCTTACCATCAGGTGGCCCACCTGATTGTAAGTGATAACTGTATGCAGATACTGTATCAGCTTGTATGCCATTTAAATTGCTTAAAATAATCAAGAGCGACGACATAAGTAGGGATAATAACTGTACGAGAAGGGCTCAAGATCATGCCCAGTGGTACGCCAAGGGCGAAACCTATATCCAGCAATGAATTGCAGTGGATAATGTTGATTATATATGAAAAATAAATCAAATTACATAAAAAATACATACACAAGGTTCACGGCTACTCCGACAGCGGACGTGATCAGCATGACAGTGGCATCGATCTCAAAGGACTTGTATATAACACGCTGTACAGCCATGTACACCAGGATGCCGGTGACTACCCATATGAGCAAGACAGACGTCAAGGCGCCTATCACCTCAGCTCTGTACCAGCCGAAGGGCATTCTGTAAAAGAGGCATTAGATCATTTAATGCAATCATATTAGTCTCACGGAACGTTTTACCATATCAATTTATACAAGGTTAGTCGGAAAGACATGAAAAATCTATTTGACGACGTCGGTAATGTAGCAGTTTAACACTGACTTACGTCCGATGCTTGCGAGATATTTAATGAAAAATTAATGAAAATCTATTTTGAACCTCAGTATTAGAACTACTCACATACAATACAAGACGTGGTAGAGTGTATTATTTGAATGTTAGAATGCTCTAATTCGAAACAAATATTCTTGGTGGCTACTTTTGTCTCGAAGTGTTTTCCATAATCATTTTTTAAGATTTTCTTCTCTCTCTCACTGTCTCGTATACTCCATTATTTGGCGAAAAAGAAAATTGAGTTATCATTTATTTAAAGATGAGAACTGACACTAATCTTATATCATGCGAAGGAACTAAAAAAGTACGTAAAAAGAGAGGACGAGCGAAAAAAGAACAGATGACTGCTTTAAGAATCATATATACTACTACTACTACTAATAGGAATCTTTGGGAGAAAACATGCTGAGCTGATCCCAATTAACAGGATGGGATAAAGGCAAACAATAAATGAACTGAGAAATGGATTTGTCTTGTGTATATTTACCTTCTCGTTGCTGGCCTGCTGGCCACCCATAACGAAAATAAAGATATCATAAAACTAGCAAAATCTGTGAGCAAGTGCGCCGCGTCTGTCGCGATCGCCAAACTATTTGATAAGTAACCACCTGTAAAATAGTAATATATATTTAATGCACGTGGACTTAATTTGTCGATCTCAGTAATCTACCGATTTTGCACACCGTCTTAACTCCGATGATCTCGGGTTCGATTCCCCTCACAGTACAGATATTTGTATTTATGAGTATGATTGTTTGTTATGTCTGGTTATTTCCTATGTGTATTGTGTATGAATTTCTTAAAAAATGTCTTAGTATCTATTTTAAGAAAGCTCTGCTTATAATTACATTATTTTGTTTAATTCCACCATCATTAGCATGTGTGAGACCATAAATATTTTGTGCGGAACCTGACCACCGCTATTGGAAGCATTCGCGTTTACGACCTTCTCTATTGGCGATCAAATTTCGACCGTTATTGAGTCTTAATGAATTTCCTCACTAGCGTTAAAGGTTTGATCCTTTTCTTAAATAAATTTTGAGTCATTATTCAAACATTATAATTTTCTTTCCCTTACTATGTAATAGCTAAAAAAAGGCTATTTAAATTAAACTCACCTACTATTTCACCAATCATAAATATTACACACAATATACTAGCTATAATGAGTTTTCTTCTGGCTTTCTTGTCTATCTCTTCATTTCTTGATCTGTGACAATGCCCTGGAAATGTAAGAAAAATAATAAACATTCTATTACACATTTATTATTCACAAAAACTACAAAATCAATAATTTCAGGGAATAATGCAAATAATAGGGTATTTCTATGACAATCAATATTAGCTAGGGCATTAGTGCTCCATAAAGCAAAAGTTACAATTCGATAAGCTGTTAAAAACGGGGCCATTAATTTTTCTGGGCCAAAAACATAGAGAAGTAGGATGAGCATCAGATACCTCTTCTAAACCATAGACAAACTCTCATAATAATATTCATTAATTAATGATATTCGTAATTTCATTAACTGTGTACTAATCCCATAAAGAATCATTATGTGTATTTAATAAAATATCTACAAAAGACAAGATTAGGCACCTAACCACTTGAGTCCATTTATCAGATTAAAATCCAACATTTATTCCAGACACATAATTTTACGTCTAACTATTCACCTAACTTCAATTTAGCATCTGACAATTTTATAAAAACTAATTCACCTAAAAAGATGACACATTCATCAAAATTGAATCAAGGTAAAAACAACCCACCAGCTACTATTGCACCTGATCTTTTCCAACTACACAAATGCCAGTTACCACCAAAATTTGTTTATCAGTAGATTAGTAGTATAAAAAACATTTCATTGAATAAACATTTGGTCTGCTATATCCTGTGTGGTCGTTTACTTTAGATAATTCGATTCCAGCACTGTTTTTTGTAACAACATCAAACATTCCCATATTTGCAAGATATTTTTTATACAACCACGAATTTTGAACAACAATTACTCATACAACGAAGATATGAATTTATATCGTAGTCTATACACATAATCGTATGCGTAACAGATCTCCGAAGTTACTTTTGTGAGTACAAATAGATTAACAAAAATTTTTAATGGAGACTAAGGTACATTGTTAGCCCATATTGAAATCATCGTAACAAATTTCTGATGAATTTGCGTCATTAGGTCAAGTAACCTAAATTCATTATCATTTATATTATTATATCCTTCACTGATGCCAGTGTATACTATTACTACATTTTCAGAATCATCAACAAAACCTGACTCATAAAATAACGGTGCTTTTGCGAACTCACTTTCAATCTCAGTAATGCTGGCATTCCTCCTCTCAGGATCATCTCCATCTGTAGTTGTCTCTATTACTGCACAGCAGCCTGTAGATGGGTTGCCGTGAACGCAGAATATGACCCGGCGACCCCTGGCCGGACTTTCTGTACCATATGACGCTTTACCATCTTTGAAACTGTAAAGAAAAACATTTCACGTGTAAGAATTGAACTTTGAAGTGAGTTTATAATGAATGAAGACTACCGCATAATTATTTTGACGACCTCGGTGGTCTAGCGGTCTAGCACACCGCTTTACGACCGATGGTTGTGAGTTCGATTCCTCAATTATTATTATTATAATTAAGAAATTTCCAAGCAACTTTTATATTATTATAATTAAGAAATTTCCAAGCAACTTTTACCTATCGATACTAATATTATAAAGAGGTAAAGTTTGTGAGTTTCAACGAAAGAGATAATCTCAGATACAATTAATCCAATTTTGAAAATTCTTCCATCGTTAGATTGCTCATTTATCAAGGAAGGCGATTGGCTAACAAAATTGATAACAAGCTTTCTGTTATTACTTTTCCAATATAGCCCATTTATCAAGGAAGGCTAACAAAATGGATAACAAGCCGAGGATCCATCTGTTATTACTTATCTATTTACTTTTTTAGTTACCATACTTCTCCGAAACGGCTGGACCGATTTTTATGAAATTTTATATGCATATTCAGTAAATTTGAGAATCAACTACTATCTAATTTAGGAGTATGTCATAAGTTATAAGAGTTGTCCACCCCTAACAATTGTTTATGTTTTTTTGGAAATTATTCTTTTTTTATGATGTCGCACTGAAGATACATACAACCATACAACTATTTATTTTTCGTACCCCTAATTGATAAGGGTTCACTCCCTAACGTTTTCTTTTTTATTTTTTGCACAATTATTTTTTTACTTTTTATAATGTGGGATTAAAAAATAACCCTAAATTTTCACCCTTCTACCATCAACCCCTATTTATTAATAGCGATTTAATTTATATGGCAAAACATTTGCGGGGTCAGCTAGTTTATTATAAAATAGTTGGTGTTAAGAACTGATTAACTTAATATATAAATAATTAGCGATAATACGAGTGCACTGCCACAATAAAATATGTTTTTGCTGTGAGCTATGAATACAGTAAAAAGGTTTCCTTAAATCGCAATTATCGGTCGTTACTTTGTAGTTGTTCTATGGCAAATGACATCATTCGAGCAAATAGTACAAAATTACATAATTTACACAATAATAAGGTGATTTGTAACGCTTTAACTACGTTTACTGTATTATACATGCAGTTTACTCTAATAACAAAGTTGTACGTACTTTGTTATTAATGTAATATGAAGAGTTTACAATAATAATAACAACTCTGGACAATTACAGTCCTATCTAGTCCCAAGCTAAGCAGAGCTTGTGTTATGAGAATACATAGACCGATACAAACATACTTATGAATACAAATATTTGTAACATGAGAGGAATCGAACCCGCGACACACGTCATACACGTCATACATACAATCTATTATATATATAGATAGATTTTTTTATACATCTATACATATAAATAAAATTGGAGTGTCTGTTTGTAATATTGAAATAACCGGCTTTTACTACATGCATATGAATATAAATACGGTACATATACCAAAATAACATTTTTTACAATTATTGTCTGTCGGTCTGTCTGTTTGTTCCGGCTAATCTCTGAAATGACTGGACCGATTTTGACGGGACTTTTTTTAGCAGGTAGCTGATGTAATAAGGAGTAACTTAGGCTACTTTTATTTAAGAAAAATAAAGTTAAATTCCACGCGGATGAAGTCACGGGTACAAGTAGTACATAATATACATAGATAACACCCAGACTTATATAAACCATGACACTCATGAATACAAATGTTTGCATCGCGGGAGGAATCGAACCCATGTGGGCATTGAAAGTAAGGTGGTGTGCTAAACCACTACACCACAGAGGCTATAAATGATTGTATATATTCACATTACTAACAGATTAGACGAATATATAATAAAATAATTTGTTTATATACATATTTAAGATTCTAATGGTTAATTCCTTGACGTCAATAGTTCGATCCGGTCCGGTTATGTCAACTAGTTATATACTACGGCGCTGTCTGCGTGAAGTCGTAAACAAGATCAGATATGTACCAAATTACGACATACGGTAGTATTCATTTTTTTCTTAATATATTTTTTTCTTTTTGTGTTGCCAGTGATGACTTACGGCACAGAGACGTGGTTGCTAACTATGGGCCTCTTGAACAAACTCAGAGTCACTCAGAGGGCAATAGAGAGGGCTATGCTCGGAGTTTCTCTGCGTGATCAAATCAGAAATGAGGAAATCCGCAGAAGAAATAGAGTGACCGACATAGCCCGAAGAATTGCGACACTGAAGTGGAATTGGCAGGGCACATAGCTCGTAGGACAGATGGCCGTTGGGGCAATAAAGTCCTCGAGTGGCGACCATGGACCGGAAGTCGCAACGTGGGAAGGCTTCCAGCAAGATATACCGACAATCTGGTCAAGATCGCTGAAAGGCATTGGATGCGAGCAGCGCAGGACCGATCGTCGTGGAAATCTTTGGGGGAGGCCTATGTCCAACAGTGGACGTCTTCCGGGCTGCGATGATGATGATGACAATTTTTTCTTAGGACGGGACATTGAATATGGTCGAGCGCAATGAAGGCTGGCTCAGTCTTTATACTCGTGAACAGGTGCAAGCAGTAGGGACCGGTCTGCTCAGATAACTATGGCTGATTTTGTTAATCAAGTAACTATGTTATCTGATTGAACAGAAATAGAAATAGAAATAATCTTTATTCAAAACCTTACGCAATTTCCATAAAACTAATTACTGACTTTCATCAAACGGCACTTAGGTAAAACTAGTTTGTTGACATAACGTAAGCTTTCATTAGTGTAATCACCTACTTTTTTAAAACTGTTAATGTCTTTCCTGGCATACACAATATTTTCGTAGATGTATTGAGAAGATTAAGTGCGTAGGTAGTAGTAGACAGAGATTAAGTGCGTAGCGGTTTCTATGTTGATTGTCGCATGCCTAATCCTTGTTGTAAATTAAATATAAGTAAATCAATATTTATTTAAAAGAGCAACACACAAGTTTCTAGTTTATTCTTCTTGTGATGAATCTGCGTTCCGAATAAGCGGTAAAATAAAAAAACTTGACTATTCAAAAGTGCTTATATTAAGTTTATTTGAATAAAGATTATGTCTATTTCTATAACTATTTATTTATTTATTGGCAGCTTGTATTCACAAAAAATATTAAAATTTTGTTTTAAAACAATTACTTTTTAAATTTTTTTATACTATGATGGTGGAAATCAAGCATACGGCCCATCTGATGGTAAATGGTTACCGCAGCCCATGGACGCCTGAAACGAATGAAAAAAACCATTCTTCTTGTGATGAGTGTGCGTCCCGAATGAGCAGTAGAATCTAAAAAAATTGACTATTCAAGTGTTTATATTAAGTGTATTTGAATAAAGACTATTTCTATTCTATTCTATTCTATTGTATACGAAACTAGCTGTACGGTAAACCAACTGTAAACCACTGGACGGATCGGGCTGAAGTTTGGCATGCAGGTAGATGTTATGACGTAGGCATCCGCTAAGAAAGGATTTTGATTAATTCTGCCCCTAAGGGATAAATTGACACGAGCGAAGCCGCGGCCAAAAGCTAGTATATATATATAAGTAGAAGTAAGGATCAACATTATTGTTAATCTGTGGTCAGTAACAAGAGTATTTACAACATATCTGTATTGTATGCGAAATGCAATGCAATATGTTTATTTTATGAATATATAGTATGCATTTGTATGTATTCAAATCAATATCTATTTTCCATATATTTGTATCCAATATGCAGATTTAATGGTAAGCCGCTAATTGAGTATGTGACAGTGTTTCTGTCACAGCAATGGTTATTTACTATTGTGAATACATAATATGTAAATAAATATCATGTAAGACATACATACATACATTACATAATATTATATTAATCTTTCACGCAAAAACTACTGAACGGATTTTGATGAAACTTTATAGTAACATAGCTTATACATCAAAATAACATATAGGCTATAATTTAAAAAGATATTATGTAAATTGGACGAAATATAATAACAAATGTCAAGTAAGTGTGATGCAGACGAAATCGCGTGGGTCAGCTAGTATATATATTTTTTAAATAGGGTTTGTTATTTAAAAGCAATATTTCGCTATTAGAAAATAGGGGTTGATGATAGAAGGGTGAAAATTTGGGTTTGTATGTATTTTTAATAATAATAATAATAATCTCAGGACAATTCACACAAAAATAGAATAAAAAAGCTAAAAAATTGTGTTATGGGTACTAGATAGAGACTGATACAAATACATAGATATTTTTTTTTGATAAATACATACATATTATACATATAAATCAAATAGACCGATACAAACAATCATACTCATGAATACAAATGTTTGTGCAGTGCGAGGAATCGAACCCGCGACCTTCGGTCGTAAAGCGGTATAGACATATAAACCGATATAATGCCACATTTAAAAAGAAATAAAAAATAAAATTGTCCAAAAACAAGAAATAAATGTAGGGGTGGACCACCACACATCGGAGACAATCTATTTTTTATATCACTTAGGGATATAAAAAATAGATTGTCTCGGACCTACTATATATGCATATAAAATATCATAAAAAATCTGTCAAGCCGTTTCGGATATATAAACTGACATTGTGACACAACAAAGTTTTTATATATATAAATTTTGGTGTTATATATAAAAAAATATTTTTTTTATAAATATTTACTTTTTTAATATTAAAAAAATGTAAAACGCGTATTTCTGTTTTAATTTTACATTTCTACGTGGGTCATACAAAATGAAAATACAACAAAACCAAAGACTCGTAGAAATCGGATACTCTAACATTTAATCTGTTAATAAATTTCAAAGTCATTAACAAGAATTGTAATTTTGCGTTATTAGATTATAAGATGAAATAGTACCTAAACACTTGTGAGATTTACACTATAAGTGTTAATAAAAATTAAATTAAAATATAAGAAAGTTGAAATCAAT